TAAATAGTATATGACAAAATAAAAAATGAAATTTATAAAAAAAACACAAATTTAAAATATAAAACAGAAATAAATGAAACAAAAATTAAATGTACCTTGTGAAAATCCGTATAAAAGTCACTAGACCGTACATAAGAGCCCTGCACTTCGTAGAGGTTTGTAGAACAACGCTACATAGATCGTAGCACTTACGCATTACACGACTCGTTTACCCAGTTCCTTACTTGTTAGTTTAATAGCTGAGCTTCTCCGAATAACATAATTTCAGTAAAACTATTGATTGCGTTAATGCCATAAGATTAAAGTTCAACAAGAAATGAAAGCAAGTCAAAAGCTCGAATAAAAGCTTTTACCTTTCAATTGAAGAGTATAAATATTTATAATTTTATGTAATTGGCAATAAAACCTTATTCGATACCTCATTGTATTCATACAATTCGCACATAACGTTATACATCAAATTAACAGGAAGTGAATACATATGAGTATCATTATAATAATAGGTACCGACAGAGGGGGTGACGCTCGAAAAAATCATATCTCCCTGTCGGGGGATGCAGGTGGGGTTGCCAGTGTTTTTATTTTTCGATTGGCGGATTGCAGGGAGTAATGATCGATGGAATTAACGTGCCACTGGCCACCTAGACGATCTGAATTTCGAATGCTACCTTTTTTCTTTCAAGTTTTAAATTGAACTTTGATGGAAAAGGTTTTTATGTTACCTATATTTGTTTTTAATATAGATTATGTAATATTTAACATTTATAAATAAAGTATTTTATGATTTGTTTTGAAATATATTATATGCACTTTATATAAAAAACTACATTTTTTAATAATTTGCCATTTTCTTTTACCCACACTTTCCATTGAATTTTCAACGCAAATAACAAAACAATGTATACGTAATACGTTTATTAGTACAAAGATTCATAGTAAAAAAGATAGGGTTAATATATCTTAGGTAACTACGTCATAACATGTTTACAGAAGTAGCATTTCCTTGTATTTTTATTATTACTTATTAAGTTATTACATCATAACTGCCTCGGTGGTGTAGTGGCTAGCATGTACGGCTGCACACCCGGAGGTCCTGGGTTCGAGTCCCGGGTCGGGCCAAGTTTAGTTATTGAGTCTTTCTGTATAGTAAGCCTAGTAACAGCCCGGAGTTGGGAAGTTATCGGTGTTTCAACCCCGTGCCTCGGAAAGTTGGCTAGTCTCAATGAGATTGGCCACCGTGGCCGGAATCGGTCAGGAGGACATCATCAACATTACATCATATACATAGCAAGTACTAAGGAAGTGTACCACGATCCAACAAATATAATATAGTGAGTAGATTAAACTTTTGGTCTGTACATACTGTATATACCTAAAAGGTATAAATCAAACGAATACCTATTTCATGAAAAAATCCGCATAAATTCCTCTCATCCATATTATTTGATGCACCCCAACCGGCCAGACTGATATCGGATAAGCTATCGTAATGTTTCGATCCATTCCGTTTACAAATTAAACACTCCCCGTCCGCTCCCCACAGGTACATATGTGTTGGACATGATTTATATACGCCATACACATTTGGCATAATTGAAAAATGGCCGAGTGAGTTAATGGCGCAGCATTGGACAAAGCAAATAGCGTTTTTCGTCCGTTACTGCCTGTATGAATATGGATGTTGCCACTTCAATAAATTTGTCGCACTCGGTAATGATAATGCGTGGATTAATGTGCCACGTCGGGAAAGTTTAGTGTGTTTGTTTAGGTTTTTTTTTAATTTTATGAAATAAGGTTAGGGTGGACATATGTAAAAAGGTATATTAATTATTAAAAAAAAATGAAAACTATAATTGACACAACATGCAGTAACATGGTTACATTTATTTCCTACAACTATTAGAAAAACAAGTCCACTAATGTTAAATTCTCAAACTTGATTCTTAAAATTGACTCAATAGGAAGTTAAGATAGTGTTACAGACAAACTGTCAAATATGACAGCTACTGCTTTGTCTATTTCAAGATATATACGTCAATACTGCGTATGTGTTTAAAACATTAAGTTACAAAACAATTTATTTAGTTTTAGGGAGCAGAGTAAAGTAAATTTTCTTAGTGACTTCATACACTTATTAATTTTCTAATATGTAATCATTTATAGTGACGTAGTTTAAAAGCAGATGAATTTTAGAAAATACATATCTCAATAACTAGATAGATACAAATACAAAAATAGTAGTGTAGGCGGATTAAAATTTAATTAAGTAATTTAAAAACCTATTTTTTGTAACCAATTGTAAGGTTGTATTTTTCTACATGAGCCTTTTTATGAAAGAAATCAATATATTTGATTAATTTTTAATAATGTATAAAGGATTTTTTTATGTGATCTAGGCTGATAAGAATGTATGAAAAAAAAAATGAGCGCGAATTTTGATTTATTTTCCCGCGCTTTTGGGAGAGATGTCGGTAACACCTTGCAGTGACGAGTCATGAATTGTTTGTAATACTGAATGAAAATTATTAATATAAATTATGTAAATGATTATTTAAAAGAGCAACTGTTGAGTTTCTCGCCGCTCTTCTCAGCAGAACTATATTCCAAGCCGGTGGTAGCTTCCATACGGTCAAACATACTCACGATTATAACATTAAAATTAAGTTGATGTTGCAAAAGTACTGAATATAAGAATGAAGGAAGAATGCGAAGGCAAGGAATATCTCGAAGTTTTATTAGTATCATCCTACACAAGTTGCAATTAAAAGAATTCAGCCATAAAGTTTTAAAAGTTAACTTTCTTTTTTATTATAGGAAAATTATAGTTACTAAATGTAACTTTAAAATTTCAACAAAATAAACATTTATCAAAGACATAACACATCATATAAAACTTTTAAAGCTTCTTTTGAAAAACATCAGAATCAAAAAATAAAAATCATTGAAACATTTAAAAAACAATTAAAAAATAACTATAACTAAGCTAATCAATAATAAACCACAAATTAACATTAACAAACTAAAAACTGTTAATAATTATGGGCAACAGTCAACTAGTGACACAATGTTGTGGCATTGTGTAACTTCGACTTTGCATCCTGAAAACGAAAGTTACTTCGTATTAGGGATGTCTCTATTATGTTAAAAATAATGTTTTTTTTTATTATTGACATTCAACTCGAACTGTCAGTAATCTGTATGAATCTGTATAATTGTGAGTATGTATGGATGTTTGTTACTCTTTCACGCCAGAACGGCTGAACGCATCTGGATGAAATTTGGCATAGAGATATATTATAGTCTGGAATAACACATAGGCTACTTTTTATCCCGGAAAATATACGGTGCCCGAGGGATAGAATTGTTTTTGTTAAAGGCGTTGTTGTCTAGAGGCGAAATCAAACGAAGAGAGGGTGAGCCGCTAGTTAATATTAATTATATTATTTTATGTCTGATTAATATTACCATTTTAGCCATTTAAATGTAAATATGAATATAATACAATATGTCAAATTATACATGTTCAGATTTATTTTGAATATTTTATTCGTTAACGATAGAATACGTTTGAAGTACTCGTATCTAGGGTAATTATCTACCCCAATTAATAGTTGCAAAATAACTTTAAAATATTTTTTATATAATCATAGCAAAATGCGTCGAAATTACACAACTTGTCGCGAGGTCACTGCAACCTTCGTCCTTATAAATAAAAGTATGATAAAAGTATAAAACAAAATTCTAGCACTCGGAGCTTCAGGAAGTGATGGCGTGTCTCAAACTTCTGAAACGCGCGCTTTCAGGGTTCATTCACCCGACCAGACATCTTACAAACATCTCGTTCACCTTGCCATATCTTATACTTATAAACATAAAGCCTATTATCCTTTAACGAAACTACCAAACTTTGCGTAAATATAAACCTCATTCAAACTTTTGTTGCCTATACAAAGGGAGTAAGGTCCATTTTCACACGTCACGTTTTCAAGGAAATCGCTTCGGTTTTCTTTTGACGGATTTCTTTTGAAAACGCTGAATGTATTCCACAAGAAAGAAAATGCTCGAAACCCTTTGTTTTAATTGTGGATTTTTTTTAAATGACAATGTTGTATGACAGTAGGTAAAATAAATACTGAAAGATATTCTTATTCTGTGCATTCATTTTTTCTAATTATTTTCATACCGTTGTGTCATCGTTAATTATATTTTGTTACTAGCATTGCCTGCGGCTCCGCCCGCGTTTAGATGACCATAAAGCAAATTCTTAGGTTTTACATATTAGTATATTCTTATATTGCAGTTTTTGTATTTTTTCTCAGAAATCAGACATTTTCCCGCTGTAAAAAGTATCCCATATGTTGACCCGGATAACCAGCTATCACCATACCAAATTTTATCAAAATCCCTCCAGTGGTTTATCTGTGACGCGGTAACAGACAGACAGACAGACGGACAAAAATTCTAAAAACTATAGATTCGGCCTCTGTATCGATAATAAAGTCTATTTCAATAAGATTTTCCAAAAAATATTTAATGTACACATTCGCCTTAGTTACAATTTTATTATATGTATACATTGTACCAAGGCCTTGAATATTGCGACTTGGTTTAAATTAAAAATATATAAAATTGTTTTTTACAAGACGCTGTCTGTCGCCTTCAATGTCAGTTGATCGGTTGATGTTTCAAACCTTAAGAAAATATTCATAAAAACATATTTCCCTTTAAGATGTATTATTACATGTTTTTAAATATTAAAGTTGTATATATTACAATTTGAAATAGTATACGAATGACGTGAAATTGAATATGATTCTTTTTTTAATTATTTGCATTTCTTAAATTAGGCAGTGAAATATATCTTGCAGATAAACAAACTCACATTCATTATCATATATGTATATCTTTTAAACAATAAATATTAGTTACTAAAATAATGAGATTATAAATAAAACCAGTCTATCACAATAATGTATGTGTCTATAATCTTTATTAAATCAGTTTGGGTAGTAGCCCTTTTTTAACGTCCCACTACTGGGCACGGGCCTACCTTCAATATGAGGGTTATCAAGCCATAGCCCACCACCCAAGTGCAGGTTGGCGGACTTCACCTAGTCATAAAGTTTTAGACATTTTTTTAAATTAACGTTTTAATTTATATAATAAAACACACTCTCTCTAAAAGTAATACATTTAAAAAAAGTATTTATATTTTTAATATAGCTTTGTCCAGATATAGAAGTTGCGACCACCAACGGAGTAAATAAATTAAGTAAGATATTATTTTAATCCAAACACGACTAAAAGTAATATAGATAATTATAAGTAAATTACGATATTCAATAACATGTCAAAAATTCATTAAGTTAAAAATGTTATAAACCATAAATCTTCAGAACCGCGTTAGACCACCCTTTTCTTACAAGGCACATAATTGATCTTTGTATCCACGATGCACGGAAGGTTCGCGTGTGAGGCGCCAAACGAATTCGTTCGTTGATCCCAGCCATATTTATTACTTTTACTTTTTAATTTATTGCCAATAAGACATGCAATGGCAGTAAGTCCTAAAGTTTGCACTGCACTGCAATTTGAAAAACTAATATTTATTTTAAAATTATTTGTCAGTTCGTACAAATTGTCATCTATACATAAAATAAAATTGTAACTAAGCCGAATCTGTACATTAAATATTTTTTGGAAAATCTTATTGAAATGGACATTATTATCGATAAAGAGGCCGAATCTATAGTTTTTAGAATTTTTGTCTGTCTGTCTGTTACCGCATCACAGAAAAACCACTAGAGGGATTTTGATGAAATTTGGTATGGTGATAGCTGGTTATCCGGGTCAACATATAGGAACTTTTTACCGCGGGAAAATGTCTCATTTCTGAGAAAAAATACAAAAACTGCACTATAAGAGTATACTAATATGTATAACCTAAGTATTTGGTTTTTGGTCATCAGAACGCGGGCGGAGCCGCGAGCAATGCTAGTCAAAAATAAGTTTACAAGAAATTTTAAAATCCTCCTACGGGCCACTAAAGCGGTAACCTAAATTAGTCGTGTTCTGTCAAACAAGTCAAGCACACAAAAAAAACCTTAGGCATTGTGACCAGCGAATCTTCAGCACGCTTCGTCAGCGCGTCTCGTGCATAATCTGTTAAAAATAGAGCCCCTTGTCTCTGCTCGAGAGCCGTTGTCTACGACACCACATGTTGACATATACTTCAATGTATTGTAACCTCTATAGTGAAACACATAAGAACCATCGTCAAAGCCTGTGAGGCTGCAGGCTTTTTATTTTTGTCTCAATGATGCTTTATTATACAGCCATGATAACTAATACAATGATGCAGCGGATTTTTTGTGTTTAGAATTTTCCTAACAACATCGGAGGGTGAATATGTAAAGATTGTTAACGTTAAGAAACAAGATAAACAAAACTCATATTTCTCGTTAACGTAACTCTACTTGAAGTCTTAGCAATCGTAAAATAATTGGATTTGCAATCTAACTCTACCTATACAGGATAGAGCAAGCTAAATTAAAAGGTTTGTTTTACTAAATATTTTTTGTTTACTTTTTCATTTATTCTAAGGAAAATTATTATCCTTATATTTTATAATGAATCTAAAGGGTTTTACAATTTTTTTACAAGTTTTTTACTATATAATTTTATTTTATACTAATAATTAAAAATGTTTAAACAAACATACTTTATTGACAAACTAAACAACTCTTTTACATATTTGGTAAGAGAGTTAAATAACTTTGTAATTAGCAACTTACATATACATATTTCAATTGCAAACTTATCATTTTTGTTCTAAACGTAAAACAACACAACTTATAATTTCAAAACAAAAAAATACCAAACCTAACTCTTAATCATCTCCATAAATAATATACAACTCACCGACCTTTAACCACTTCTAATTACAGAAATAATCGAACTTACGAACTGAGTGATATATTCAACTTGACGGCGGCCACTGAGCGTTCTTCTCATAATTAGCCCAAAATAAAACCGTCTTGTTCCACCGTCAGATGCATGCATAGTGCCCATCCTCTCGCACCTCATAACGACTAACTATATACTAAAAGAAAACTAGCATTAGTCATAGGAAGTTATTCTCGACTCAATTGTAAATTATTGTGGAAGTAAATTATTTAAGTTTTCAAGCAATTGTTATATTTTTTTATATGTCTAATGTAAATAACGAGCTACTGAGACACACGTAATCTAAGTGTTTGCAACAGACAGACGGATTTAAGGGAATATAAATATCTATTTTTAACCGACCTCAAAAAATGGAGGTTATGGAAATCTGTTAAAAATACATTGATTCTTCGTTACATTTTGAAAAAGGGTTTAACAATGAATAGATAACTTATACGTATTGAGCCAAAGCTCGAACGTTCATACGACTTCTTTACTATATATATGTAAGTACACTGTTATTTATGTACCTAATTTAGGTACTGTAATTTTACACAAAAATACGTATGAAGCGAGTAATGGACACTTACGCAGCTCATATAGTTGTTTATTCTGTTAATATTATTTTTATAACATTTTTTTTTCACGTAAATAAAAAAGAGATATATAAACAAAACGGCTAGAATTAAAAATATGTACTTAACTCCCAGGAAAGGGCGTTCTAAATAAAAACGAAACTTCTCAAAAGTAAGTAAACTTATTCGTTTACTTAGTTTCGCCCTACCCGTTGTATAATTTCATTGTAACTTAAAAACTGGTGTACCTTCACTGTAGTCTACAAAGTGAGGTAGATAATTCATATATTTAATTTAAATAAAAAGTCAAAGAACCGTAGTATGTTGTGTTTGTACTGAAAACCGTTCCTATGGGAAAACGTTTATAATTTGCCATATGAATTCGACTACTATTGCTACTTAACAATATCCATATCTATACTAATATTATAAATGTGAAAGTGTGTTTGTTTGTCCTTCTTTCACGTCGAAACAGAGAGACGGATTGGCGTGATTTTTTGTGTGGAGATAGTTGAAGGGTTGAAGAATGACATAGGCTAATTTTTACCGCAGTAGATTATCTCATTCCCACGGGAAAACACGTTATAATACAACCAAAAAAAATATTTGTGATCAGAATTATTTGAAACTTGGTATTAATGCTCTTCAATACAATTAAATAAATACGTGTTTTAGCATATTTTTTTTGAAATTCGGGATGAATTTCAAAAAAATAAGGGGGTTTAATAGGGCATGAAAAATTGTATGAAACCTACTTTTTAGAATTTTTTGCTGTTTTAACGCGAGCGAAGCCGCGGGTTCTGCTAGTAGAGAATATGTCAAAAACGATGAAGCAAATGTCTTTGAAAATATACTTATTGACTATTTAATTGAGATCTATTAATAAATGAAAATTTTAGAAAAATATCCAACAAAAAAGTTCAAGTTTATGGGTGGTTATTATAATTACTGGTAGAATATTGATGCTTACCGAAATATATAACGTAAAACTAATAACATAGAAGTATGAAAATTACCGTCTTAACCGACTTCAAAGCAAGGCGTATCGAATTCATTAAATGTTTAAAAATACTGGATCGAAATTCGTCTATAATCATTATTTAAAACTCGCGAAAAACGTATATAAGTAAATAGAATTTATCTATCTATATAAAAAACTAGATGTTTCCAAAAAAATTTATTGATAACACTAAATCTCGTCAATAGCTACAAAACAAGGTGAAAATCGGTTGACAAACAGGGGAGAAAAAGGTGCTACAGTATTTTATCTTTTCTTATTTAGATGTAGACAAAAAAATTACGTTAAGTAAATTTAACTTCCTTACCTTTCTTCATAAGTTAGGTGATCTGTAATTAAGCTATTATATTTATATGAAAATTATAATTGCGACCGCTTAGAGTGACGATATAGAATATTAAGTTCGACAAATTAATATAAATAATTAAATATATTGGGACATTAACACACAGCACCATCTACTTCCGTGGTAGGCCTGTGATATGGATACCAAATAGTTGATACACTACACATACATATATAACTTTAAATATATACATATTATAAATATAAACACCTATAACTGGAATACAAACATTCGTGCTCATCACACAAATGCATACCCCCAACGGGACTTGAACCCGCGACCGCTGGCACAGCAAGTAAGATGACTATAAACTGAGCCAAACGTGTCGTCGTGCATATAGTATTTTCTTTAAAAAGCTATGAAATATTTTTCAAAATATTGAAATAAATATTCAGAAGCCCAGATATTATTTACTATACGTATAATTTACTACCGCTAGTTTCATGAGCCATTACCATAATTGAGCATAGCGCCATATTAAATTTCCAATTCCGTTTAATCCTTTAATACATACTTTTAAAGTTTTCGTAATAATAGCTTATGAAGAATTCGATATAATTTATTGCTGAATTTTGTTAAATACTAATCGCTCATGCTTTCATCAGGTGTGAAGTGACCCATATATGTATATAAGTATGTACATTGAAGATTATAATATTTATAATCTTATGTCCTCAGATTTTAAGCATACACTATAAAGTCACTGTAAAGTCTCCTATACACACATATATAATAATTTTCAACCGACTACAAAGAGGAGGAGGTTCTCAATTCGGCTGTATTTTTTTATGTTTGTTACCTCAGAACTCCGTAATGTACTAACCTTACCTAACTAACTTAAACGGCTTAAGCGAATATTTTATTTAAGTAGTTTCTTCTTACTTTGCTATTACTATGTCTACACAAAAAAGGGAAAAATAAAAAATTATAAAAAATGAAATAAAAATCGACTTCAAAAAAAACACTAAAAAGTAAAAAGTAAAAAATAACTGATTGGTAGTTTTCATTTACTATAATACCTAATCCAATATTTTAGAAGTCGGTGCCAGCCGGTACAAATCAAAGCCAAAAAATATTTGATTAGGTATCTATAGCAATTGAAAACTACCAACCTGTTATTTTTTACTTTTTAGTGTTTTTTTTAATTGAATTTTATTTGAGTTTTTTTGTAGTTTTAGCGCGAGCGAAGCCGCGGGTTTGGCTAGTATATAATAAATTTGTAAAATATATATTTATAGAAAAGAGAACTCAAAATTAACCTTTCATAGTTAAGTCCATCACCCTGAACTTATACGATAGGACAAAGCGAGCTGTGACTCAGTCACGGTCACGATCGTTCTCGGAAGGATAATTCGGTTATAAAACATGGACTGGTTCGAGCGGCAATTAATATTAATAATGGCAAATATCTCATTGAATTGTTGCCATTTTGTGGAAGACCCACCACAGTAACTAACCTTGAGTGCTTTTGAAAATTTAGACATCTCAAAATTAAAAATTATCCAAAGTATAAATACATAATGGATGATACATTTTCAATCTATTTGTATAAATATGTATATTTCTATAAATATGTATATTTTGGTGTGTGTAAACTAAGTATCGCGATGTCTTCGTTTTCGATTCTTAGGTTTGTTGTAAATCGATTTTATAATTATTATTTTATGATTAGATTAAAAACAGGTAAGGTATTGATTCATCACAAAAATATTTAAAAGGAGCAGAGAATGGAATAATTGTGATTGTGAAGTAGGTACCTTTTTTCGTCATTTTTTTTCTAAATTAGTAAGCTATTTAAAACAGTAGTATAAAGAATAGGTTAGTTTCCGTCACTCGTACTCATTTAAGTAGATGTATGTACATATATACATATAATAAAATTCTGAGTCGAATCTGTACATTATTTTTTTTTTTGGAAAATCTTATTGAAATAGTCATGATCATCGATACAGAGGCTGAATCAATATTCTTAGAATTTTTGTTTGTCTGTCTGTTTGGGAACGCATCACGAGTACACCACTGGACAGACTGATGAAATTTGGTGTAATGATAGCTGGTTATCCGTGTCAACATATAGGATACTTTTTACTGTAGAAGAATATCTCATCTCTGAGAAATCTACACTAAACGTTAAAACGTAACTAGGAACGAATGACGATGAGTCGCTAGTATACTCGTATAATATATAACTACACTCATCCTAAACCATAATCCCATGACCCTTACCCAATAAAAAAGCTAAACAACTTTCGTCTAATAAATATTTAATGATCATATACTTGTTTGATCAAGGGCATAAAATATATATCACACATATTTCTTACAAGACAGTTTTACTAATCAAATTACAAATTAAAAGATTGTCCGTTTATCATGAAAATTCGCATCAATGATTACGCGTTAACCAACCGTTTCAAATCTAACTGCTGGCAGCCGCCTGTTTCACGCTCTTTAATGTACGGCTACTCGTAAAATCTACGACGACACTCGCTATAAACGATTTTGTCACATAAAAAGTCCATATAAGATAACGCGAAATACTCTACGTTTGTAGTTTATAGTGATGTTACGGTAAAATAAACTTTTTGCTGTTTTTTTTTTAATTAAAGGACTAGTAGGTAACTCAGCCTCAAAGGCACACCTTAAGTTAATTTTCGCAATAGATAATACTTACCATGGAAACCATTTGCTGCATTAAGATAAAAATAAAACTATGTCACTTCCCAAGCCATAAGCCATCACCATAGTTGGATATATATATTCTTTAATACACACATATTTGCTTTTATAATTTAAGTATAAATGATAACTTCGTTATGTACATTAGCTGTCTTACTGTTTCTGTGACTATATCTCACAAAGCTTAACGTAAATATAATGTTCTGCTGGTAATAAATACTTATCAAATGTTTCCAATCCACTTGCGTTTCTCGATACAAATATTATCACATCATATAAGATTAATAGGAAAATGTTTATAATCGAGCTACAATCATGACATCAACGGCACTGAGTCCTAGAGGACATTAGCATTTGCCGAGGGGCGGTGGACGGAAATAGCCGGCCGCGTCACCAATGCATCGCTGCTTTATGCCCAGTTATTGCAAGCCTCACTTTAATTGCACCCAAACGCCATTACGAAGATTTGTGCGACGTCACATTTGGCGCGAAACATGACAAATCACCTGTCATACGCGCACAGACTATATACACATATGAATACATTTTTCTTCATTTTTCATTTTATACGCCATGTTAAAAAAAATTGCGACGTTTATTGAACGCTTTTAATTAGCATGTGTTAAATGGCTTTTCCGTGTCGCAGTACGATTTAGGGCGGTCGGTCCATTTATTTCAGGAATAACAAAGTGCATCCATGTAACATCGGCTGTATTAAACTTTTATTGCCTTCAGTGCCATTCTTTAGGCGCGAGTGCGAACACGCCGTTAATTACAACAAAAACCATTTAAAAAGATTTATTATATTTATTTCGAAAATTTTAAACAGAAACAGCAGTCTACTTTCCATAAAAAATATTTTACACCAAATTTAAATGAACGCCAATAGTGTGAAATACTGTTACACAAAAGGATAATTTAAGTTCCAAACATAAATAATAATTACTTTTTTCCATAAATTTAATTTATGTAAAAACAGTTTTAAGCAAAAATAAATTGCTTTTAACTGAAAATGTGTCTTATATAACTCAAAAATGTTTACAAACACCTCTCAAGCAAAGACAACTCGCGTTCAGTTCAAAAGTCCGTCGATGTCAACTAATTTTAACAGCCTTGATTTTTTTTTCTCCGTCTCATGTTTACTCTCGTTTATTCGCCACGATCTCAGGGCTGCGTGCGAAGTGCATTGCCCCGCACCGAAATAAATTGTCGCGACGCAGTGTCGTGCCGCGTGCGTACAACCGGTACCGATGTTTCGATAAAGAATTAGGGATGTGTCATAAAGACTCACCGATTCGCTTTTGACTTCAGGGATTCCTCATATTTCTCTTATTTGTATCTATTCGCTATGTATAGAGAATTTAAATAAAAAAATATAATTCCTTCTTTCTCACTCCTTCAACACATATGTATATTACTGTTAGTCCACAAGAGACGCACCCGAGGGAAGTGAGGATAAATCGCTAGATACATATAAAATTCATGGTACTCATAATCTATTTTAGGTACTTTATTCTTTTTTATCGAATTCCGAATCCGGAAGTTCACTTAAATCAATTTTAACTAACAAAATCGATATTATCATAATTGCAATTACCGCCATAAAGAACCCAATGCCAGACAGCTGTGCACTCCCACCAAAACGACCTGTCACATTCACGTCATCTACTCGTATAGATTACTGTATATCTTGGCACTCAGGCACTTCACACACAAGGCAAGGCGCGATGAAGTTAACACTCTTTTTATTTCCGCGTAATGGACGTTTGAACGCGTGTGTTCACGTATGTTCCACTTTTTATGCACTGTTGACACTTGACTTTTTATAAACGTCTTCATTTCATTCAACGGAGTTTCCCGATTACGAAGTCGTTGTATTTATTCATTTTGAATTTTGAATGAATTGAATCTTTGTTTTAAATAATTACATACAGTGCGATAGTAAACATTTTATTGTGAAAACAAGTTTGTATCGTATTGAAGAATAACGCTTACTGTCTTCATAGAAAGTTTTTATAATGCTTTTTATAGATATTTGTTATAATATCTATATTGTTAACGAAAATGTAAAAAATGCATATAATCTTAAAATTAAATTGATAATTTAAGAAAAGTGGGTTTTGAGAATTTAGTAAAAATTAAGTAAATCAGTTATTTGTTGTTCAGTACTTTTTAACATCCCACAGCTGGGCACGGGACTCCTTTCAATATGAGGGGGATCAGGCCATAGTCCACTACCCTGTCCAAGAGTTGACGGCCTTCACATGTCTTTCGAAAACTTGTTAGGTTCTCTCTGACATGTAGGTTTGGTCACGATGTTTTCCTTCACCGTAAGACAAGTGATAATCATGTCAAAATGATTCGTGCGAGACCCGGGATTTGAACTCGCTTCATTCGGTTACCCAAGCGAGAGCGTAACCACTGGGTTCCCACTTGCTTCATTGATTGAATTTATGAGTTAAGACAGTTATCAGGTTTAAGAACTCCCAAAAAAAACTGTACCTACATCATCTCATTATTTTCAAGAAACCACTAAAATATTGTATCGTACGGCCTACACTAACTAAATATTAATTTACGGGTGTTGTGAAAATACACTTAAGTTGTTTATAATTCATAACATAAAATCAAGTGCTAGTCGGATTCGCACACGATGGTTTCCGTACCATAATCGTTTTCTTTTTATTTGCATGAATGCCTTTTGAAATTCGCCATCTTCGTCTTTTAATGGTTGTTGTTATAGCGGTAATAGAAATACATACTGTGTTAAAATTTCAACTCTCTACCTATTACGGTTCATGAGATACAGCCTTCTGACAGACGGATGGACGAACTGACTTAGTAAGTTATATAACCAATGTAAGCTTTATTTTTATATTGTCGAATGAATGAAAAATTGTGTAAGCAACTTTAAATTACCCTTTATTACACTTGCATGTCCACTCGCATAAGTGTCTAATATACTGTTAAATAATTTTAAATGGCATAGGTTCATATTTTCTTCTTCAACATAATTAAACTAAGTTGGGCCGTATACCGCGTCGCGTCCAACTTAAAACACACTTGTACCAGCGTGAGTCAGCGTATCCCAGCATCCTGCTCTTACTGTCGATCAGCAAGTTAACAAATGAATCACCGGCTAAAATAACCACTGGTCATGCACTAACGAATTGTGTAAGTCAAAATATATACTTTCTGAAGAATTTACGCTATATTTTCTACATTTTACGCTTTTAAAACTAACATAGGATGATCTCGCCAAATGGAGGGAAAACCAATAGAGTATGAGTAATTTAAAAATACACATAAATTTGAATTTCTATACACATGCTGTATACAAACATAGTCTTTAACTTATATATGCAAACTTACAACTCGCCAAAAACTCATTAGAATGAGATAGAGTTTAGTAAGGCATACGATTACAAACACACAAATAAACAAATGTATATTTTTTGAAGTTATACTTTTTTGGCACCGACAGCCAAAAAGCGACATGATGAAGTTAGCTGCATTCCTTTTACAAACAGAGAGTTGTGACGTACGAGATGAAATTTTTAGCTATTTTTGTTCTGTTATGCTAAAGAAGTATAACTTCTTACGTGCGTACATAAGTACACACACACGATTTTTATTTATATAATTACCTATATATCTAAATATAAATTGCTATGATATTTTTCTAACTTATAACTTTTGAACAGTATATATTTGTAAAAAACTTAAACGAAACCACATAAACACATTGCGTACCCGAAAACGCCAACTATTCGGTAATCAAAAATAATTGTCCAAAAACCAGTGGACAAAATCACAAAAACTCATGTAGATTATGTTATTTTACTCGTTCGATTCTCGATCTTAACAGCAAAGGTTGAATATAGTCATAAAATATATTATAAGTCTTAAAACTTAAGGAATAAGGGTGGAAATTAAGTTTTAGAGTCTGAAGTAAAAGTTGTTCGGGGTTTAATCCAGTGAGTCGTTGTTCGGCGGGTGACGGGTTCGACCATCCGTGAACCCTGAGTACGGTGTGCAATTGAGTTATTCGCAATAAATATATTATTATTAATTTTTTACCTTGGATAATAAATGCTTTATACATATCGATTATAATTAGTAATAATAAAACAACCTACTGACCAACAGGATATTGTCTGGTTGCTGGTAACATCATATTACCATTTCATTAGAAATGATCGAAGCAAATATTCTAACGATTCGCTATTTTTCTAAGCACCATAATATCATTATTTCAACTTAATAAAATAGTATATAAAAGCAATATTTACTTATAAGCTTACTTGTCATAATCAATAGTACATTTTTGACTAAAATTATTTGTTGTTGAACATAATTATTTTAAACATAAAATATTGAATCCCAATCACACATTAAACGAACATAAATTAAATTTTCTTAATGTATTTTTTTTTGCTGTCTTTACAAGATGTAGGATCAAACGCAGGAAGGGGCGGTTCGTTTCGGACCAGTTTGGCCCGCCACGGCCACGGCTTACCACTTGATCACCTCGCGAGCGCACCTCTACTACATTCATACACTTTTTTCTGCCATCTACAAATAACTCAAATAACTACGCCTTCATATTCGAAATAACATATATAGTTATTAACTGGTAGCACATTAAAATGTAATTTAGATGCAATTAAATTTGGTTCTCAGAACTTTCTTACGGTCTACATCGTAAACGTACATATGCGACGCAGTCCCGTAGTAGGATATCAACGTCACAAGTGAAAACGAAACGGCTTTACGTCTTTAATATAAAACAAAAAACAGCTAAACAAGTTATAGCGTGGAAAGGGGAGTCGCATTCCCATAGACTCTACGTCACTCGAACGCTATAATTTAAAAAGGGTTAAGACAAAAAAATCTTAATTCGAAATGACACCCCACATGTGGATCCATCCGCCCGAAGATACAAGATTTAAGCTGTAGTAGACGTCATTAAAACATCGCTGTCAAGTGAACGAATCATTTGGAGTTTGGACGCTCACATTTCCTCCCGTATTATTTATCCGAGAGATTATAAACAGATGTTATTCGACTATAAATCTTTGTCTCATGGCACATGAAAAGACGTACGGTAATGTACTGTATGTCTGTAGCTTTCTGCATCAGTTTCGCTATGGATATATTATTGCGAATTTATTCAAGAAGCCATTTGACAGTAAAGACTTAAATAATTTATTTGTAGTGTAATTAGAAGAAAGATATAAATACTCTAGCGAGTTACCCTCACTTGGCTTGAGTGCTTCTTTAGGTACATGTAATTTTTTTGAGCGGAACCTTATTTTTTTTCTAAAATAAAAGTTACTCCTTATAACATCAGATATCTGCCAGTGAAACTCCCGTTAAAATCAGTTCAACCGTTTCGGAGATTAATCGGAATAAACAGATGGACAGACAGATGAACAGACAATTTTTTTTTTGAATTGGGTTTTTCTTATAAGTACCGTACATAATTTCACGTATATTTAGTAAAAAGCTGTCATTTTGACATTACAAACAGACAATTTATTTATCTGTATAGATTGTTTTACCTTTCTTTCTACCTAATAATAGCTTAAAACTCCTTAAAATATGAGCACGGGATTTTATTTCATTAATTGTTTAAATCATAACAATAGAAATTTCTAACAATTTAATAAAAATACTTGAACAATATTCATTAAAAGCTTACAATTTGTATGAAATAAAAGTATCTATAAATATCGCAAGCGCAACCAATATTTCAGACGTTGGTAAACTAATTGGATATTTTATACCGAAGAGTTAAGTCACGATCGTCTTGAATCGAGATATCGACAAATCGATAGTGACTGCGATAACTGTGGTAGCCTTAGTAGCGCGATCTTATCAGCCTTTAACCCATCGCAGTTATTAACGACGGATGCCCGAGTAAGACGGATCAAATTTTTTTATTATGTTAGTGTTCTAAGGAAAATCTTTTGTTTAGATTTTGACACTTAAAGAGTAATTGTAGCTGTTAGCTTTTATACAAATGAAGGTTTGGTGGTGTGGTTCTGAATGGCAGTACTTGTTACGACGGAGGTAACGGGTTCTTTTATACTCGCCTCGCGATGAATATTTGTATTGACTATATTTAATATAGATGAGAGACAAAACATAACACCACCCAATTCATATTATGTAAATGGACAATGTGCCCAAAATCGAATAAGAAATAACTATGCTGTCTTTGAATACACAAAAATCTTTTAATATTTGAAATGTTATATTTTGTATAGAATAATTTATTTAGTACAGCGGTTAAACTGGGACGGTAAAGGCGTTAAAGAAAAAACACATACATATGTACACACACATTCCTTTTATTTAACAACACGGAAAATACCTCAGACATTACGTTGGAATATATATATAAAAATGCCATTAAAATTTATGACTTTAAAAAACATCTCATAAATATAATTCACATTCCTAAAAACCGCTTAACTGAAAAAAAACGGACATTACAGTTTTCTTATTCTGGCAGATAGGAGAATTTACATAATATTTCAGATTTAATCGAGTAACAACGCGGTAGCGTCATCACGGTAATGGCCAGAATACGAGCACACTCGCATTCTCCTTTTGGTGGGAAAAGAAAATGGTCACAACATTTTTATATAATCTCAATCTATTGAGAAAGTAAAACGTTAGAAATCACGCTTCTTTTTTCATATAAATTTCTACAGCTTATGCAACTTGCTAATCTACTGCAGATACTTTTCAACTCAATGTTTTACAAAGCTTAATTAAAATAGTTAAATTTGTAATCACAACACTTTTCTTGTTCAGTCGAAGAATAAAAACATTAGTTTGTTTTCTTTAGCAATAAGATATTATTTCGCATTATTAAGTTTTCCTATTCAGCGGGTATATCAAGAAATGATGTAACCATCAAAATGTCTCACACAGTATGGAATGTGACATTTTATTAAATTCTTATTTGGCAGCGAGTGTTGCAGTCGCGCGGCACGCGACGTCGCGACGACTGCACGCTACAGTCGCGATTCTCCGCCGATTTATAACAGCTTACTTTTGATTTACCGCCCCTTTTCATGGTCTATACCTTAACTATTCCCGAATTTTACTATATTTACTTGTCTACTTGTTCTAACTGTGAACTCTTTGTTATTTTCAGACACGACAGCGCCTTACGTGCTATATAAAGATGGAGTGGAGCGTGCTCCGCCTGGCACGCAATGGGGTGGCGCAGTCCTGGACGGAGGCTACCAAGCAATGCAGCACCAGAGCCCTGGCGGACCCTCACCGCAGCCAGAACCTCAGCTCGCCTCCCCCGCCCCCTCCCCGTATCCCCCCGCACCGCCCCCTCCCGACCAATCGGCGGACGAGGCCGCCCAGCAACTCGCACAGCAACAAGCGCAACAACAAGCGCAACAACAACAGCAACAACAAACCTCACCTGAACACTTGCAAGTCGACCAACAGCTGCAAAACCAATCGCAGCCTCCGTCTCAAGATCACCTCGACCGAACTCCATGCTTCGTTCCGCAACCAGACTTACAGCAACAATACACAACTCCATATTTTAAAGAGACGAGACCAACGAGCCACATGCTAGGAACAGGTGGCTTTCCACTGCACTACTTAAAGCAAAATGGCGGCGTGCTATCTCTAGAGGGCCCGCTGGACCAATATACGACGCCAGACTTGCGTCACTTACCAGACATTGTACAACCCGAGCCACCTAAGCCTCGGAAACATAATCCAAATTCAGAACTCCGCCTGTTCAAATGCCTGACTTGCGGCAAAGACTTCAAGCAGAAATCGACGTTACTCCAGCACGAGCGGATTCACACGGACTCGCGGCCGTACGGGTGTCCAGAGTGCGGGAAGCGGTTTCGCCAGCAGTCCCACCTGACGCAGCACCTGCGCATCCATGCGAACGAGAAACCGTACGCGTGCGTGTACTGCCCGCGCTCGTTCCGGCAGCGCGCCATCCTCAACCAGCACCTTCGCATCCATTCCGGTGAGAAGCCATATACGTGCGGCGAGTGCGGCAAACATTTCCGCCAGAAGGCCATCCTGAACCAGCACGTCCGCACACACCAAGGCGAGCGCTATTCACAAATATATGCCCCGCCCCGGTCCCCGCGCGCGCCGCCCGCACTGACACGGTACTCTCGTGTCATTGCCGGCGTCGCTTGCGATTCCACCCGCCCCCCACACGTTCGGTTCGCATCCATTGGCCTTCCTATCAAACAAATTCTCGGTCCCCTTGTCGCCCACTTAGCGAAGGGCGCTCGCGAGAACCGATCGCCGGACGCTCCCGTAACCGTCCTCAGTTCGATTAACCCACTCGTCGATTATTTTCTGGACAAATCGGACCCGTAACTTACCAAAATGTTCAATTTTTCCAGACGTTTCACCGCATCTTATCTTCAAGAATGGGACGACGCCGACGTTGTGGCCCCAAGACGTACCATTTCCACCGGATGAGAATAAAGAAGAGGTGCAGTCGACATTTGGAGACACCGACGGCCAGAATGGAGATCAACGGGGATCTTGCTTTTCACCAGGAGATACGGCTCAGTATCCTGCGTACTTCAAAGATACGAAGGGTCTCAATCACGCCGTCTTCGGATCATCAGGGCTTTCACTCCAGTATCTTAAAGGTGGGAAATTGCCCGATGTGCTTGGTGGTCGAGCGATGCCATTATACGTTCGTTGCCCAATCTGCCAAAAAGAATTCAAACAGAAATCAACGCTGCTACAACACGGCTGCATACATATAGAGTCGCGGCCGTACCCTTGCCCCGAGTGCGGCAAGCGTTTCCGCCAGCAATCACACTTAACCCAACATTTACGCATCCATACAAATGAAAAACCTTACGGGTGCGTTTATTGTCCTCGATTTTTCCGGCAACGAACGATACTTAATCAGCATCTCCGCATTCACACGGGTGAGAAACCGTACAAATGCACGCAATGCGGAAAAGACTTCCGACAAAAGGCAATCTTGGACCAGCACACGCGCACCCACCAGGGCGATAGACCGTTCTGCTGTCCGATGCCGAACTGCCGACGTCGGTTTGCGACAGAGCCAGAGGTGAAGAAGCACATTGATAACCACATGAACCCGCACGCAGCGAAGACTCGACGCGACTCGAAGACCCCCCGCCCTCTGCCACCGGCGGCTGTCGTGAAGCCCGAGTTATACTTCCCTCAATGCTACGCGCCCCCGTTCCAGCAGTTCCCAGGGTCGACCGGGGAGTTCAAGCCCACAGTAGGGCCGAGCTCGGTGACGTGCCTGCCGGCGCAGTGACCCGTACCCCCGCGGTGGCCGCCCCCGCCCCCGCACCCCCCGCACCCTGCGCACGCCCCACACACCCCCCACCATGATCTATACATTACTGATCGACTTTACAACTAAATTAATCTATAGAGGAGGGTGATTTAATGATTCGTTGTTGTTATTGTGAAATATTATTGTTTGTTGTTCTTGGTTTGATAACGTTTATTTCCAATGATAAGATCCAATCACATATGACAGATAATACAAAAATCTAAATCGAGTACATTAATACTTCGCTAATGTTTATTAAATGTTATCAAGTCAAAAGTTCATACGAAAACAGAAGAAATGTAAACACGCTATTAACCATAAAACTATCACTCACCTCTATTGATTAAGCAAACAGCTGTAACCTGGGTGCAAAACTGTCCTTACAAAAACTTTTCTATTAGTGAATTTCAGTCATACGAATTTACTTTAGTGTGTATGTGTACAGATATAAGATTAACACATGACCACTTGAGCCATCTTCAAGTTGTAGTAACTCAATAAAACGACTGTGAATAGGCAGTTTTGCAATCAAAGTTTTTAGCCTACAATAAGTCGCAAGTTCTTCTTCGACTTCGACTAACTACGCGCGAGCGCTTCATCCGGTGCGGAATTCTGTATACGACTCGTTAACGCGAGCTTTTACAATCAAAAGTAATTGTTAATCGGATCGCTGTAAAACACGCTTCGATCTGTAAATAATGATATTCTATATACTCTATGAAGGTCTGCCGCGAATGTACAGTGGAGTATGTACACCATAAATAGTGTTACCGTTCAAAAAAGCGAGTATAGATAGCATTTTTGCCCCGTAATATTAAGTTACCACGTAAGAGTTAGGTTTCTCGGTGATTCTGTCGATGCGTTCGTCAATATCTAAGCGGATCGAACCAGAGATTAGGTTTAAAACTCTTCGTTGAAATATAAAGAAATAAGATTTGCTCTTTTACCACATTACAACAGTATTTCGCGATGAATGCTTTCGGTACATCGTTGTGCCTATTTATAATAAATATATACATATTTTTTAGATGTTACGTTAACTTTATTTAGGAGTGTTAGGATATAAAATCTGGCAGATATAGGAAGCGGAAATTGATAAACGATGCTCAAAATTCTTTAAGTTAAATCTAGTTATTATCGCGTAAAAATTAGGCCAAAAATAAAATTTTCTTGCCGAAAAGTTTAAGTAATTAGGATTCAAAGGAAAAAGCAAGAATGCAGACCAAAAACATAGGTTACCTTTTGCCATCAATACATATTATGTTTATTAGTACTTACAATTGTTCTGTAATCTGTTACTTTAATGGATGCATTTTGTCTGAAGGATATGAAGCGTAGTATACGTTTCGTGTAAACTGTGGGTGCCAAATAACGTAACTTTTGAATTTGCTCCGTCAGCTTTTGTCAATAGGCCTAGTTTAGGTTGTTACCAGTTTTTTCAACGATATGACAATTTGAGATGCATTTACGTGGAAGTGGAAAGGGTCAGACTGAGAAAGGACTGTGATAGCTAGATAAGTTAGGCGTCTATTTCGCTCACTTAGCATATAAAATTTCGTGTATCGTGACGAAACGTGATTGTGAATCCTTTTGGAGTCGAGTGAATGTTTTGAAATTATTATTTTTGTTCTTTCGTACTTTTGTTGTAGAGATCGACTCAAATAGCCAAACTTTAATTACCTTTATGTTCCTAAAGTAATCGAAATTTTGCATTTGTTTAGAGCCGCCGTGCGCTCGCGCCGGACGAGTTCGAACTGATTCGATAAAAGTTATTGCAAAAGTGAGATTAGAGAATTTTACCAATTTAGGTAACGCGTGTGATGTCGCAAAGTGCTTTTTGATGTAGGGTTCGGAGGGAGGGTTAGCCAGAGAAATGTTTTACTTAATTTTAGCTTAGACTATCGTCTTTCGAATTACCAAGCAATTCGACCATTCATCGCGAAATAAATTTAAGATTTAGGGAGAATAAAGATATATATGAATTTGTAAGTCCGCTGGAGTGTTCTGACACCGCACGAGGCCTCGGTCATGTCGCGTCCACAATAGATACAGGTAGACTCCACATTTATTTCATTACAGATGACATTATAATATAAGTTTTAAGCAAAGAAGATATATGAAATATATCGACTTTGATACGATGACGATTGTTAAAGCGCTCTTTCGAGTCTCAGTGACTATAAACAGTGAATGCGGTGGCCGAACATTCCGGCGGACTTTTTAACGTTTTATCATCTCTGTTTGTATCTATAGACGACTTATATAGCTTATTTTACGATATTATTGTGATGGTTTCGTTTTCCTACCGCATAAGGAATGTTACGTATTAACTAGTAGTGTAATAAAGTGCAAGTGGGAGTCTTGGAGTCACAACACTTGGATGCAATTCTTATGATTTGTCGCTCGTCTGAGTGATCAACGCAATATTATTTTAAGTGAATTCTGTAAAATTCTGACAAATTATCGCTCATTGGACAGTTATGAAAAATTATATGCTACTCGGTTTTGAGAGCCAACTTTCAAATACGCTAGAACACTCGAGACGCGAAATTTTTTACATGTGAGATTATTACCATTACAACTTTCATGGATTAGACTAAAATATGTAGCACTAATGAAACCAACTTTGGAATTGAAAGTTTGGCCTCAAAACTGGAGAGCTGATCCGACACATTTATGTTTCTGGTTGATTTTCCTATCAAACTTTTGGAGGTTTACAAAGAAAAAAAAACACCATTTCGAAGAAAATTTGATACAGTTATCTTCCGTGACTAGAATTTTCCACAGCATTAATGTGTGATCCTCCTAAGGATCCGTGTACCGCTCCCGAGGTGTACACTACAATAGACTAGGATCAGTTTTTGAAGGTAAATTTTCTTGTCCGACCGCGTCCAAACAGTAATCGTCGAAGGTATAGACCAAAAGTCTTATGAACAAAGCAAACTATTTACTTATCTATAGTCAGCGAGAGTTTTGACACAACAGAGTCATAGATTAAAAAAGCTTCGACGATCACTACCGCCAATTCCAGGCGTGGTCAGATGAAAAAATTGAACCTTATATATTTTAATTATATGTACCTACCACAATACAGCAGCCTTAACAATAATAGCTATAAGTATTTTTATACAGTTTACGGTTAATATTTCTGTTATGACCGACGGGAGCGGCGCACGGGGCCGTAGCAAGTTTGAATACAAACATACAACACAGTGCCATAGCCGTGAAATAACCTCAAATTTATACTTATTAGATTTTTATACCGATACAAATGGATTTAATTTTTAAATATAAACAAAAGTGATTAAGTATACAGAGATTAAAGATGATATTTTATACATTTATTACAAACAATATTATTAAATGTGGAATAGACTTAAATTATAGTGTATGCGACGTGCTAAAACCCGACATGACCCGCGCGACGAGGGGCAGGCCCACGCGGCGAGTGGTGGCAAATTGAAATTAACTTATAATTGCGCTCAATTTTTCACGACTACCCCTGCGTCTCGAATTTGGGTACGTTGGTTTTAATGTATCTAGCGACGTTAATTTTTCAGCGTGGTTATTGTATATACATATCACAGACAGGCAGTGGTGCAAGCTCGAAACCTTGTTCTGGTGATCGGTTACGATCGTCTCAGCTCGTTTTATTAGTGTGGAATGATATTTTAACCTTTTAAACCAGAATAAGTAATTATATTTAGAGGCACATCACTAAACCCGTATTCCGATCTGTTCTGTTGTTCTCATATTGCTCACTGTTTCGTTACGTTTTGCTCAATTACTCGTGTATGTATACCTACCGTTATTCGTCTTAGTTTATACGTCATTTATGTATCGTTTAATTTTTGTATAATACTTACTAGAGAGCACGGTTTTGCTTTTCTTATAATTACTACTTGTTAAGAGCTTGAGTTATTCTTGTCAGTGACAGTCTTATTCTGAAGCTAAATTCGAATAAGCATGCAGACAGATAATAAATGTTGGCAGTTAATGTCAACCAAGGAGTACGTTTAAGAGAATACAATTTGATGTTGAATTACGTATCTGCCGTCCGATTTTTTTGTCGAGAGCTCGATCATTTTTCATTTGCTTTAAAATTAGCTTATCGTATAAAACGCTGCAGCCGATTCCACTGACATTTAGTTAGGTTCGTACCATGTTCCTAGCCTTAAAATACGTAATATTTATTTATATCACCAATCGCCGACTTCTCAAAGGCGCTCAAAATAAAATATGGCGATTCTATTATATTATATTTTTATTCTCGCTGCGCTGTTTCTTTTCTAAAATGGAATCAAATTCCGTTTAGCGTCTACTATACCTGCTTATAAAATATAATACTTTGGATATATCTTTCTGCGATCTTTAAGCATTTTACTTTTAATATAGTCGAGTGACACCCGCTTCATGTACACGTATGTTTAAGTTGTTAACAAATAAAAGGAGAGAATAAGATTGCATTGTGAAAGTATACTTTGCATAAATAATTATTATATTATCAACCCTATTTAAAAACTCTAATAGGATCCCATCGAAAGCGACAAAAGCCACATGGAAAACAATAAATATTTATTGGTATCTATGTGGCTTTTCTCGCTTTCGATGGGATTCTATTGGAGTTTTTCAACAGGGATCAAGAGCGTCAATTGTATCAAATACAATGTTTAAGTAAAGTAACCAGTGCTAAGCTTAAATAATTTAGTTAAGATATCTAGATGTCTTGAACGCATTAGTAGCGGAATATTTTTGTCAAACTAGTTGGCTACCATACATTCGAAAGAGCCCTTAGTTTTAAAAAAATTAGGGCACAATCATTCAAAAAGTCTAAAAATCACGTTTTTCTCGGGTTAAATAAATAATATTTGGCAAAATAATTGTTTCACATTAAATGGTAGTCGGCTAGTTGAAATTCCTTCAAAATAATATGCATTTATTAGTGATCTCAGGCATTAAAAATCTTTTACATATAAGAAAATTTGGCAAGTGTAAAATTAAGAATGTGTTTCCGAACAGTTTGTTTAGATTTTATTTTGTAATGTGCTGTTTTATGTAATACTGCTGTTACACAATAGACCGGTATGTGAGTGTGCAAATGAACTGAAGGTAGCCTTACGGGTTGACCGTTCGTTTGAACCGCGTTATAACTTTGACACATCAGTTATTCTTAATACACATCGATCCATACAATATTATTATTTACACATAAATATAACACATTTTTAAACACAACCAATGCACATAAACAATAAATATATATATATAAACTTATTTACTTTTACCATCCGTACATAAAGAGATTCTATTTTGCGAGTTTTAGGTTTTTTATAAAGCGGAGTATTTTCCAAGCACAACTCATCACACGTATTGATTAAACGTAATTTTGAATTATGTATAATATATCATATAGAACCAACCACGCGAGTGACTAACGGAAAGTATTTTGATAGTTGGCTACGAATTATTTAATCGTCTTCCATTTTCTAATAGTTTTATGTATAGTGTTACGATCTGTTCCGCTTTCGTTCGTAGTTTCCAGTGTTTGACATCTTATAGTTTAAATGGAACCGGAATAGTGCAATACACGTTTGTTTGAGCGTTACATTGTGTATATTATTTGGGCGGTCGCTCGAAGTATCTCCTCGAATAATTGGTAGCCAACATGGACGGCCTATGATTTCGAAGGTGCAAGTGCACTAGCTCACACTGCCACTCTCGCCAACCGCTGTCACATATATAATTAAAAATAATTAATTTCTATCACAATAGAGACTTGTTGAAACAGTTCCACGATAAAATAAGAGTTGTTGAATTTTTTATAAAAGATAAAACATATTAGATATATGATCTTGTAGTCTGGATTGAGATTTTTTTACAGATTTTATTAGATTCGATGAGAATGCCGCGTCGCCTATTTAGCTTATTTTTGCTACAATACTTATTTACTACAGAAAAGTTTACTTATACCGTTATACCGAATAGTACAATAGATATACAGATTTTACAAACTATACAATACATTTTTATACAACAAAGCCGTGATATATGAAAGATTTTTTTTATAAAAAGCCTAATAGGCGGCGAGAGCTTCTGCGATATACCTATGGTTTCAGTGAAATGGGTGCTGTTATATTATTACTTGTACATATTTATTGTAATATACAACAATAGACTGGTAATTTTACAATGTTGTTAGGTTTCTACAGATGTATCCACAAGGGCTGGTGAGATTTGATAAGGTATTTGCGTTCATCTGCGAACAGGTATTGTCAATAGTGCCGCCGCAGCATCCCTGACTTGGCTGTACTGCTTGAAATACACGATTTCATACAGTTTAATATTTTGTTTCATAATAGCCAATATATTATTGATAGAACTTATTATAAATGTTAATTTTGCAATACTCATTGATTTATACCAATTTATTCGCGATTCTTACAAGTGCTACCTACTGTTTACTTATTAACATCTGTCTGTGAATAATTTTAAGCGTTATATATAAAGAAACTAGTGATTTTCAATTATTTTCGCGAGTTAACGGTATAGATTTACGCATCGCCAATAACACGCATAGTTTACGCAAAGACGCCAATACCGCCAGTTATAGCTTATAAGTGAGGCCTAAGAGTCACCTCTCGCCAGCCCGTCCACAAGTTACAATAGAGTATATTTTCTTACATACAAGACACCGAAATAGACTATATAAAAATTGATTTTAGACAATCCCAGAATACAAGATCGAACTTTTTACACACAACAGTTGAAACAGATTACGATTATAGTTTTGTCCATACGTTTGAGTTCTTTAAACAGTTGGTTGCGACATGGTCACAAAGATCCAGGCGAAAAAATTAAATGTTGGCATATTTAAAAATAAAAATTGTAAATATTTTTCTAGTTCTTCCAAAATGATATCAGTATTAAATACAAAATTCGACTTTGGTTAGATCAAAAATGTATGTGTGATCTATAGGGAATTTTGCATTAGACCTTCTCGGTGTAATTTTTATGATAGTTATATTTTAATTATATTATCATTTTATTTAGATTATATTTTAATTGAATTGTAACGATCTTGCCTAGATTTGCATTTATGTTAGTTACGTATTATGCGTTTGAAGTTGATACCATCGTATTTATGTATATTATTATTGTATTAAGGGTTTTGTTTGTTTTTTTTTGTCATTAATAGAAGTAAAATGTTGTAAAAAGTAAGCTCGTTGTATTTTATCAAATAAACACTTTTTAGTCCAACTGAAGCAATATAAGGCAGTTTTATTTATGATCTTTTTTTTTATATAGTACCTATGTAGAGACTACTGTTTTATATTTAGATAGAAAATCTAGTAATGTAAGCACATTACTAGCGCATCAGATAAATAATTAATATACTTAAAACTGAAGAAAAAAAAACTGAAAAATGTACTAAAATAATATTTACCTATAAAACAAGATCCACTGACTCAAAATCACTTAATAGTAATTATTCCATACATAATGGTTTTTTGGATATTTATTTACAACCACCGTTGAGATATCTATTAATAAAAAATGAATTAATAAAATTGGTTGAAAATTGGCGAAGATATTACGTTAGGCACATACATACGCAATAAAGTAAAGTCGAGAATATTCGTCTGTATGTATAAAAATATATTTTAAAGTCGGCAAAAACAAACCATTTAAATGATAATAAAAGAGCAACCTACAACATTCTATAAAAACTGTAAACTTTAAGAGACGATAGCATGGGTTTATATTATTTTACAAAATAGATATGTATTTCTAACTAGCGACTAGACTCTCGTTTCGCTCGGGTGCATCCCTAATTGAATTTTGTATTTTTAATCTACACATATAATTTAAATTCTGAGTCGAATCTGTACATTAAATATTTGTTTGAAAATCATAATGAAAGAGACATTATTATCGATACAGACGCCGAATCTATTTTTAGATTTTTTGTATGTCTGTCTGTCTGTCTGGGAACGCATCACGAGAAAACCACTGGACAGATTTTGATGAAATTTGGTATGATGATAGCGGGTTATCCGAATCAACATATATAATATTTTTTACTGCGGGAAAATATCTTATCTCTGAGTTTACACTAAACGTTAAAAGGTAAATAAGGACCAACCCGAGCGGAGCGAGGGTGCGTCGCTAGCTTTATATAAAGGCAGCTCTACCTTCTGGCAAACTTTATTATTAATAATTTTTTCAAGCCTGCTACATAAAGATTATATATTAAAAAAATATTTTTATATACTAAGTTTCATCCAAGTCCAGCCGTGTCAACGTGAACGAGTAACAAACATACATACACACTTACAAACTTTCGTATTCATAATAGTTATACTATTATTATTATTTCACTTTCCAAAATTAAAAAGTACCAACATATCTACACAGAATTTTCAATATGATACAAAGTAAATCAGAAGCACTAACCATAGAAGACATAAAATGTCACGGCTAATAAGATTTACCGCATGAAATGCGCTTTTTCATCGCCCTCTTGATTATTCACGAAACGCAATTTTGTCTTCATTAGATATCTTACACCATGATTCCTCTGGACTGATTTTATTGTCACATCTGTGACTTCTGCATAATTTTCTGATGATTTCGGTAACATAATTGAATTTAATCGAAGAAAGTATAAAACAAGTATTAAGAATGATTTATGTACCAATTAAAACATTACTTTATATCATACAGTAACCTCTGGTAATTTTTACATATTTTGTTAGTTACTTTTCGCTGGAAACTCTTTGTTTTCCAGGATTCATAAATGAGTTTACTATAAATGAATAATTAGTTCAAATAAATGTCAATAGATGGCGTTATATATATATCGATTTGTTTTGGAATATTAGAAAAAAATTAAAACACAAAAAACGTATATTCTGATTTTAGTTATTTTAGATAACAAAGTTATAGCCAAATAAAATAATGTGTTCTAAAATTTTGCACAATTTTGCTAATATTTGAAGAATCTGAAAAGTAATGAGTATAACTTTACTTAAGAATGAGTACACATAGATGCTCATAGATGGCGCTTTTTACATTTCATGGGTTGATTACCTTCATAGATGAATAATTAACATTATCACATTTAAAAAATGCTAACATCACTTAGATTTGTTTTGCTTGAATAAATGAAATGCAGGGCCGGATTAACCCTACCAGGGCCCCTAGGCAATGCAATTCTCGGGGCCCCTTGCGTTTACCCTTTTCTGACTTTTTAAAATACATTTTTTCTATTACAAAAATCGAGTCGATCAGATCGACTCCTTTGGTATCCTATTTCTTCAATCTCTTATGTGATACTAACGGCTCACCGTGGCTTCGCTCGGGTTCGCCTCTAGAAAAACAATACAAATCTATTCTTCGGGAACCGTATATTTTTCCGGGCTAAAAAGTAGCCTATGTAATAAAAATGTAAGTATATTCCAGGCTATAATCTATCCTGCCTTTCATACAGATCCGTTCACCCGGTTTGACGTGAACGAGTAACAAACATCCATACATCCATACTCCAAACATTGAAATTTATAATATTAGTATTTATGTGGGAAATAGTGTTAATTAAATGAGTTTACTATATTATGTATAGAAGATTTTTTTTAAATGATCTACGTCCATCTTATTTTTCCCATTGAACAAAACATCAGGAAGTAAATTATAATCAGCAAAAAAAAATGAACTGAATGAATTTGACACAATGTTTCTACTACTTACAAAAATTCAAAGATTACTCTCATACTTATATCTATACCCAATCCTCACTAATCACTATTGAACCAAAAAAAACAACAGTACTTTTAAAACACTATATTACAATAACAACAATCATTCAGTACGTTTTAACAATTTATTGATACTTTCTTTATTTTTATATATACATATATCCATAAACGTCAACGCGAGCAACAAACACTGCCCAAGCATGTCCTTTTGTAGTTCTTTCTGACTTAAGTAATCATTGACAAGATTCTCAGGAACAAACACGTGGGAGTTAGATTCCCTAGAAGCGGCTTCTTGTAATAAATTTATCACAGTTTGGTCTGTTGATACTCGCTCGTTACCTACTAAAGTTCCATATAACCTAAAAAAATAATAAAAATATAACATTATGTTTATTAAAGTAAAACTTCTTTGGGCGTGACTGAAGGACAAATCAATACATTGTAAAAATTAGTGTCGCTGAAGTGAGAATTAAATTTATTATTAATAATTAAAAAAAATGTATGTTTGTACCTAGGGAGCGTCAATTAATTACGTGAGACAATTTTTCGATACTCCCTCTCCCCTTGGTAAGATTTCGTAAGATTTTGCTCGACTAAAAGGTGAAAGACTAGGGTTTGTTTTAAGAGCTACAAAAATGTAATAAGATATCACTAAAGCCGCTTATTCTATTCCACAATTTATCTAAAAATATTAAAAAATACCTATTAACATTATAATTCATGTTAATATTCTATATTAAATATTTTATATCTAGAGAATTGAGATGAGATGAGTTACCTTTCGCTACATCTTGAAAGAATCGCATTAGTTAAAATATTGTAAAGATAAATCACACTGAAAATTAGTAGTTTTAAGAAACCAAAATAACAAGCTTTTTACAAACAATAAAAAATCTTTAAAACGAACGAAACTAAATTTTTAGGTTTCACTAATATCTGTTAAAAAGCTGCATTATCTCATCATCTTATTACTATCTCGATGGCATCAATTTTAGGACGGGAGAGACTGTCATTCTCTCCCGTGACCATGATTGCTGTAAAGCATTAGAAACGTCGGAAACCAAAAATCAAAATAAACCCGGAAAAAAATCCGACAACATAGTTTTATTTTAAAATTACTATAAAATTATTGACGACATCTAGCGAACACTAACACTATCAAGACTAGTAGCGACATCTATTATATCATTTCAAACTAAAACCATATCGACTTTTTTCTTCAATTTTTATATAATCTGTAAAATATTTAAAATTAATGTATATCACATTATTCTTATTAATTGCCATTAAGAAAATGGCACAAAAAGCAGAACAAATATCTCATCCAATACCTAATAGGGACCGAAAGTCTAGACTTTAACGCCAACTAGTAGCAAACACCTGAATTTAATGGGATCATTTTTCAATTATGTCAACGTCAAGAAAATAAAAAGTTATTTTTTTAATTTAATTACACAAAGTATTTTTAAAGTATCTATACTTATTATAAAAATAAGTCCCCCGGCCGCGTCTTTCTGTCCTCCTGTCTGTCTGTACGCGATAAACTCGAAAACTACTGAACGGATTTTTATACGGTTTTCAACAATAGAAAGAGTAATTCTTGAGGAAGGTTTAGGTATATAATTTATTATGCTTTTATGTAAATTAGCTGAAATACGGCGACAAATGTTGAAGAGGTCGCAAAAAATCTCGCCAAATGGGAACTTTCCACGCGAACGCCGCGTAAACTAGCAAAGATACAGTTAAGTAATGTACTAGAGAATTCAAAATCTATAAAAATGCTACAAAAAAGTCCGCGATAGCATATCTCTATCTCTTACGGTTGACTTACAATAACCACTTTTATGTTAACATTTTTAATTAAAAACATTACGTTATTTTCAAAGTTATTTTCTTTAGTTCGGTATTAATCCTTATCCAAATGAATATTTTAGTTAGCTTAGTCATTTAATGCAGATTAAAATTGCTCTTTACACTAAATCAATCAGATGAATAGTTTTTGAGATATCGTTGTTAGAAGTAATTAGTAGCGAAACATTTTTAATGCTTGGCGAGCATTGAGATGCCTACGGCGAGTCCATCCCCTCTGCCCCGCATCGCTCGACCGCCTGCTCAAGCTATATAAACCGGGCGATGTAGCGCGCGATCCTAGGATACTTTTTACCGCGGGAAAATATCTTATTTCTGAGGAAAAATACAAAAACTGCAATGTAAGAGTATACTAATATGTAACACCTAAGAATTTAGTTTTTGGTCATCTGAACGCGGGCGGAGCCGCGGGCAATGCTAGTTTTTTATAAATACAATAATTTTCACATCATAAACATTTGACACACTCGTTTGTGCTACAACTTTTGCGGTTAAGACAGTTTCACTTTTATTATTTTTTTCTACTACACCATAAACATGGTTGGACTTGAATAATTTTTTACCTTTCTTACTATTCTTACCATGTACAATATATTGATAACTGATTGAAATCCATATTTTATTTTTTTTCCATTTTTATAAATATTCTGTGTTTACAAATGAATGTTTTGATCCCACTATCTTCGGGTATAAAACACTAGTGGAACAATAGTGCTGCCCTATACATTTAGCGCACGGTCCTCATTGTATAAAAAGAGAAGTTGTCACGTGATATCATCGTCTTTTTAGGGTTCCGTACCTCAAAAGGTTTTTATCTTATAAGATCACTCTCTTGTCCGTCTGTCCGTCTGTATGTCCGTGTGTCACCACCGATTTTCTTAGGAACGAATGGACCTAGCAAGTTGAAAATACCAGATACTGATGTCTATAGTCCCTATTAGGTGTATAAAAATCAAGGTCCGGAGTCAACACGATAAAAAGTTATGGACAAATTTATATTTTCGCGAAAACTTGTAAGTACCAAAATTTACCTTAATTTTTCAACTTTTTTATTTTTCGAAAATTTCCCTTTACTTGTGCTGTAAAACCTTGCTTTTACACACATCGCCCTTACACAAACTTTTTTTTTTATAGATTTTTCCTAACATAGAAATTAAAACTTCCACTGATATTACGACGTTAATTTGACGTTAATTTATTGTTGCCATATCCCAATATCATAAAAAGTAAAAAACAAAATATTTATTTACCTAAAAGGTAGTGTTGGCCGCAGGAAATACACTTTTTGCTTCAGCTCCTGATTAGTTTGACTTTCTGTTTCATTGATTCTGTGAACCAAATATGTATTATTATTAAGATTTTATAATATTGCAAATCTATTTAAATATTCTCTCAAATACTAAGAAAACACATTTTATTGTAAACTTTATAATGTGATTTTTTTTATATTTATGTCCCTAGACAACAACAAATCTATCCCACGGAAACCGAACATTCTTCGAGGATGATATATAGCCTTCCTCAATAAACCGGCTATCTAATACAAAAAGATTTTTTCAAATTGAATTAGTAGTTTCTGAGATTAGCGCGTTCAAACAAACAAACAAACAAACAAACAAACAAACAAACAAACAAACAAACAAACAAACTCTGCCTATTTATAATATTAGTATAGATTAAAACCTGTGTTTCACATGATATTAAAAATTATTTTTTGCCTTTTTTATATATAATGTATTTTAATTTTTACATCTCTAGATATACTACTCATACAACAAAATATATAAAAAAACGATATTCTTGTTAATATATGGGAGTAAATTATGTTTAATTCTGATATTTCTGTAGGTAAGTGTATAATATACATCCACTCGAGTGCCATATAAAAAGCTTATACCTTTATAATAAGAAAATTCAACAAGAGTTAAACAACTAATAAGAATAGTACACAATACATACTTATTCACTTCCATATCATTATTCTTAGCATTTATGAGAGCGACCATCATAGCAACTAACTGTGCTTTTTGAAGATTAACACCTAACACTTTAGGGTTATTCGGGTCGCTACCAGTTGCTCTGAGGCTGGTGGCCTCGGCTTTCATCACATATAAATCTGCAAGTGGCATATTATTTGTTAAAGTCCATGCCTGAAACAAAATATATTGCACATACACATTTTCATTCATTTTTTTATTGAAAGGATCTGTAACCTAGGTAGACTATGTGTTATGGCACTGTACTTGGGAACTAATATTAATATTTTGACATTTATATTGGATACTACTGGTACTAATCAGACAAAATCGAGAAAAATTCAGTCCAACCGTTAGTCCAACCGTTTCGGAGATTAGCCGAAAAAAACGGACAGACAAAATTTAAAAATTGTGCTATTCATATAGGTGCCGTATATAATTTAATATGCATTTAGTAAAAAGCTGTTATTTTAACATTAGAAACAGACACTTTAATTTTATCTGTTATAGATTTACAACCCATTAAGTTAGAGCAATGTACAGCATAGAGTCAAATAAAAAGATTATGAATGTTTTTCTATCTGTAATTTATTATTAATATGTATCAATTTAAAAACGGTTGGTAAAAAGGTTATAAATTTTCAAGAGATTACATATTTATTTGATCAGGAAAATAACTGATTGGTAGTTTTCATTTACTATATTAGTTTTCACCTACTGGCCTTACCATCAGATCAGGTCGAAGATACCGAAACACTGCGAGGAAATAGAAACACTTGCGAGGTTTCAAGGCAATATAACAATTAGAAGTAGGTTAAATTTTCATTAGCTATTTTTCCACCCTTAGAGGTGGTAGTTTTTTCAAATTAATATAGGACCAACTAGAAAGTGTACACTTTCAAACACTTACAAAACATTGTCCAAATCGGTTAATAAATGATGAGTTCTGAAATAACAAACTTAAAAACAAACATACAACCGAAATGAGAACCTTTTGAATCCTCCTCTGACCTCCTTTTTGAAGATGTCATTTGAAAATGTGTGTAATAATACCCCCAAGCATGTTCATGAAACTATAAATAAATACACAGTTCTAACAAATAATTATGTTTTCAAAATGTGACGTTATGTCAAAACAAAAAATTAAATTCAATAATCAAAAGTAAGTACTAATTACCAAAATAGTCCAATCGGAATTCGGTTTGGGAACAAAATATGTATTTCGAAGATTACATTCCCTTAGTTTCATGGAAATCAAAAGATTATTCTAGAAACCTATACATATAATAAAATTGTAACTAAGCCGAATCTGTAGGTACATTAAATATTTTTTGGAAAATCTAATTGAAATAAACATTATTATCGATACAGAGGCCGCATCTATAGTTTTTTTAATTTTTGTCTGTCTGTCTGTTACGGCATCACAGAAAAACCACTGGAGGGATTTTGATAAAATTTGGTATGGTGATAGCTGGTTATCCGGGTCAAAATATAGAATACTTTTAATCGCGGGAAAATGCCTCATTTCTGAGAAAAAATACAAAAACTGACCTGACTGACTGACTGACACGACTGACACTGTCATCTGAACGCGGACGGAGCCGCGGGCAATGCTAGTTAAAAATAAAATTAAAGGGTTACTGTTCATCTTTTATTCCAGTCCCATCTGGGGTACCCCAAGGATCCCATCTAGGTCCCTTATTATTTAATGTATACTTAAATGATATTAACCTAGTTTTCGAGCACTCCAAATTTTTACTATACGCTGATGATAATAAAATATTTAAAATTATTAAAGGTATAAATGATTGTATTGATTTCCAGAATGATTTAGATCGGTTTAGTGATTATTGTTCCAGGAATTCTTTGTTCTTGAACATTAAAAAGTGCAATGTTATTACTTTTACTAGAAAACGTTTAACTATTAATTACCAGTACAAATTAAATAAAGAAATTATTTCCAGAGCTAGTGTGGTTAAAGATCTTGGAGTTATAATCGACTCCAAGTTACTCTTTGATGAGCACGTCGCTTATATAGCTAACAAAGCTTATCGTATGCTGGGTTTTGTACTGAGGATATCCAAAGAGTTTAAGCAACCGTCAACACACATTCTTTTGTACAACACCTTCGTGAGATCTATCTTGGAGTATGCTTCTTCTGTTTGGAACCCTCAGTATAAGAATCATATTTGTAGAATCGAACGTATACATGATCGATTTATTAAGAACCTCCCAGTAAACATTTCTATTAATAATAAGAAAATTTCTATCCTTATGTCAGAAGTTGAACGACGTGCTCAACGAGATCAAGTCCTTTTATATAAGATCTTGAATAACGAAATCGATTCGCCGTATTTATTGTCTAAACTACAATTTAAATGTCCACGAAATATTAATCCCAGACAAAAATCCACTTTTTATGTCCCTGCTACCAGAACTAAATTTGCAAAAAATTCATTTATCAATAGAAGTTGTGATCAGTATAATAATCTTTTTATTAGTAATGACATATTTCATCTCTGTCTTAATAAATTTAAAATTAGTGTTATGTACAATTTGATTAATGCAAGCTGTTATTGATTTTATTATTTTACATTATTAATTTAAAAATGTGTTATTTATTGAATTATATTCTAAGGATTTTATTGATTATTTGTAATTATTGATTGTATGGCATTTCTCTCTCTCTCTCTCTCTTTTAAATTTGTAAGTCTCTTTTTTAATTGCTATTTTTAATATTTTGCATCTGTATCCATGTCTTTGTTATAAGTGTTATTTTAACAACGGAAACTATTATTGGTTATGTATTATCAATTGTTTGTTATTCTATGTCTATCTTGTAACACCGTTTGTTTCCTTAAATAAATAAAAAAAAAAAAAAAAAAAAAAAAAAAAAAAAAAAAAAAAAAAAAAAAAAACAAGAAAAAGTTAAAAACCGAGTTTTTTGCAAATATCTCGAAAACTGAGGTTATTGTAAAAAGTGTTATTTATAAATGTAGATTTTTACTAAAACTACAAATTTTGTAGAAAACATTTTTCTATAGTACATCACAGTAAGCCGGAAATTAAAAAGAACTATTTTTAAACACTTTGCGTCTCCCCATTTCTCGGGGGTAGCTGGGCATGTGGGGTATTTTACGAATTTCAATTCCTTATATAGGTATATATTATACTAGCGGCTCACCCTCGCTTCGCTTGGGTTCGCCTAGAAAAACACTAATAGAGATCTACTAGTTCCCATGGGAACTGTTCATTTTTCCGGGATGAAAAGTAACCAGTTGTTTGACCGGCAATATAAAGTATCAGCATGCCAAATTTTACTAAATTAGGTACATAAGCTGTTGTATACTAAGCTGTATAAGATACTAGTTTTTTAACTATTCCACGGGAGCTCTATAATTTTCTTGGATGAAAAGTATCTAAAATGTTGACCGGGGATATAAGGTACCACCATGCAAAATTTCATTTAAATCGGTCCAATAGGTCCGAAGATTAGCCCGTACAAACAGACAAACAGGCAGAGAAACAAAAAAAGTGAAAAAAATCTGGATTTGTTCTATTTTTCTTCTTACGGGATGTAAAAAGATAACTGACTCGGTTTTTAGCATTTTTTTCTATGTACAGACATTCGACCTTTACAGTTTTATTATATTTAAAGATAGATAGGTATATATAATATAGGTATGTTAACATTTTAAAATCATAAAACTTCAGGTTTTCTACTGAAAACTTTTTACTAAAAGAAATCTCTAAACAATAAACGGATGCCGATTGGTCTTAAAACACAAATAAACGAAAACACTACTTATGCAAACCACATAATGTAATTTTTTAAACGAAACAATGTGCGTTTTAATTTTGTCATCTGGAAAGCAATAAACAGAAGAGATTTGAAAAAGCGCAATTCAATTTCGAATTATGCACATTTTTATGAGGACACTTTCGAGACACTAATTGTGTATCTTGAGTTTTTCTATATCAATGTAACATAATAAACACAAATGAGCATCTATTCTCAAATTCAAATAAAACAAATTGCCTTGAAATTCAAAATGTTCATGTCCTTACCATATTCAGGATATCAGTGATTTGCATCTTTTTCCCATCAGGATAGTCAATGCCGTGATAGCTCCATTCATCCACTACATAATTTTCTCTATTTATTAACACCCAACAAACTGAATTCACTGTTATATACACTGCTAACACTGTTTTACAAGACTAAAAATGATTAAAAAGTAAAAATATTTTTTATTTTTTTATTTTGCAGCAGTTACTCCAGATTAATAGAACATATTATTATATTATTATTAACTAGCAGAACCTACGGCTTCGCTTGCGCTATAACTACAAAAATCTCTAAAAAGGTAGTTTCATACAAACTTTCATCCCCTATTTTACATCCTTATAGGATGAACTTCGAAAAATGCTAAAACATGTATTTATTTAATTTTATTGACGAGCATTAATACAAAGTTTCAAGTAATTCTGATCATAAATAATATATTTTATTGTATTATAACATGTTTTCCCTTGGGAATTAGACAATTTCGTGCAGTGAAAATTAGCCTATGTCACTCTCCAGCGCTCCAACTATCTCCACACAAAAAATCACGCCAATCCGTCATTCCGTTTCGACATGAAAGAAGGACAAACAAACAAACACACTTTCACTTTTTATAAAGTAATGTTATCATTAGTATGGATAAAGATCTTTTAAATATAATGACATTGGTTTTAGTAAATTAAAATTTCTAATTTGGCACATAAGTTAATATTGAAAATCTAATTATACTTTGTAATCTACACAGCTACACTACTATTATAAAGAGGAAAGATTTGTTGTTTGTTTTTTTTATGTTTTAATGAATAAACTCAGAAACTACTGGACCAATTAGATAAAAGGTAAGAAGATAGTTTGAGATCCTGGGAACAATATAGGATATTTTTTATTCTAGAAATCATCCCTTATGGGGATGAAAATGGTGATGAAAGTTTGTATGGGGAATCAACCTAGAGACGAAACCGAGCGAAGCGAATATGAGTCACTAGTTGATTATAAAACAGTAAACTAAAATCATGCAATACCTGTCGAAGATTTTCACTTAAAGATGGATGTAAAATTTGCCCTTTAATTTTTTTGTTTAAATTTTCTATTTTCTCTTTGGGTCCATCTAAAATACTTTTAAAGAGCTTTTTTGCTGTTTTTTCTGTAAATCCTTCCATATTCTCAATATCAGATATTGATTTAATTTCTCCATTTTTTCCCAAAAAATCTGATATTTTCTTGACTCGAAGTTTTGTTATGTCATATCTGGAATAATTATAATATTTAAAGTAACATCTATCAAAGAAAACAAACATGATGATTAACAATAAAAAATAAAATAATTAATTAGTAAGTTAATGAAATTAATCATTATTAATTTAAAAAAAATATAAAATTAAAAAATAGAACTAACAAAATAAAAGCTTCAGTAAAAATTAGGAGCATTGTCTTTTTAGAGACAAAGTGATGTGGGAAGCATTAGTAAATATTATGACTTAAAACCTGGTCCTAACCTGGTTAACAAAGAACTATCTTCATTCAACACTTGTAATATTTTCTCCTTTTGTGATTCTGTGTAGTTGGTTTCTAGTGTACTGCTATAATGACGATGTAATGATGAAAATAACCTAAGCCGCGGCGTCTAAAACATTGAGGTTAAAATAAGTTTCACGACAGTCTACATAATTTATTATTAAAATATTAGTCTACAGTAAGTACCATGAAAGTTCTGCAATTTAATACACCACCAAACATTTTATAATATTTACTTATATAATATGTACAAAATTTAAATCATTTTGTGTTTGAAATTTGAATGAATTTTGTTTTGTTTACATTAGGCGTATTTGACAATTGAGTATTGACTATTGACATTTGACATTCGTTTTTTTTCTTCATGATATGTCAATCAAAACAGATTCATTATCTCGTCACACATTTGATTAATAAAATAAAAACGATTGATAAACTACTCTTTTTTGTTGGAATTCCTTAGTAAATCATAATTATCTTTCATTTCTATAAAATTGTATAGTACTAGCAACAACATGTCCTGAGCTTATTTTGAAATGGCATCTAAAAATATTTCCTCCAATGCAAACCTTTATTCACCCCTATAATATTTATTATTTGTTTTATGTTAAATCACTGATCACTAATTACTTTAAATCCATAAATATCAAATAATACAAAAAACATCTATTTAAAATACCTTGACTTACCTATATATGACAAAATAAAAAACTAGAGGATTTATTAATGCATTGCTCTCAAAATTAATTATGAAAGTAAAATACTTTTTTTACTAGGAACTTATACACAATGGAAATTTTTAGATTTATTTACTTTATTTTTAAGTAATAAGTAGTCCTCTTCTATTCTAATATTTATTATTATCTTAAATTAATAATTTCTCGAGTAACATAGACTTCACGACTAATGATTGAATTTTAAAATTAATTGATATTTTAAAATTAATAACAAAAACATTTAATAGAGTAATTATTTATATGAATACATGTACTAAATTATGAACAGTAATAAAATATAAATAAAATCTGCGCCCTCTATTTGTTGCAAATAGTACTTTGTAATGTTGCTTTCAATGTTTATAGTGGTTTTGAAACAAGTACACAGATGGCGTTGTAACACATTGAAAGCACTGATAATTATAGATTTTATGATTACCTACGTAACAATTTATTAAAAAAACAATAAGTTTAGCTTCTCTTAATACCTCTTTCCATTACGAAGAATGATAACTTCTAAAAGTATCACAAAATAATGATATATTTTAATTATATAACTTTAGACTTTTATATGGCATCCATATCAAATTAAAAGCATAATAAAATTTGACAACCAACTTTTAAATGATACTCATGTAGAGGTTTTTAGATCAGCCAGCTAAAAAACATATAAAACCTATAAAAACAATTGAATGTATTTAATGTCAAATACTAAATAAGTAGTTGTAGGTTAAAACATTGCGCAGAATGTAATGGATACGACAACCTAAAACAATGAATGAAGAAGAAACTAGCGTAGGAAAGAAGTAAGTAGAACAAATAAATTAGTGCTGGTTTTTTAGTGAAAAGAGCGAGATAGTATTATTTTTGCCCTCTTCTGACTCATGAACAAGCGACAACAAAATGGCGGTAAGCCGTTCCGGGCCGAACCGGCGAACGACTGTGCATTCGATCACCCTCTCTCCCCTGAGGTACTTCGACCGCGGTTTCGGCCGAGAATCTGCTCAATCAAGAATACGCCAACAAACAACTATATCTTGCCAGTGCACCTGCATTTTGGTAAGTATCGAAATTAATGACTTTTCTTTATTTCAGATGTTCAATAATTAACTGGTTTCCATTAAACCGGTTTAGCCAATTCTATCTTCTGTTGTATATCTTCCATAATTTTACCAATGACCAAGACGTAATATTATTATTTCTTATAATCCTGAAGGGATTTTAGTCATCGGTTCCTTTTTCGTCTAGTTGAAACATTTTTCTTTTTTTATTAGGACATGAGATTAAAGTTTAATCCCATCGTTTTTCTTCTCCCTCCATTCATTATGTACCTACATATCTTGCGACTTACATACTTTCGCTTAGTTTTTACTGATGTATATTTTTCACTAACAGTTCATTGACCAGATTTCGAATGGCATCAAATGGCAAATGAATCATATGTTTATCGTTTTATATTCAAATAGGGTTTTTTTCCAATTAAAACAAATTGAATTTTTTTTAGACAGTTTAGTACAAAATGACAGGTTGACGTTATCAATAACTACGTATAATATAACCTAACAACGATCGTCGTTCCTATATCTGCCTCTTGAGAGTTCGAAGCGGCAACGCCGCATTTTGTTTCCAATGCGGCGTTGCTGGCATGTGATTACGTGCCCGGTTGGCCACACACTTATATTGTGCTGTGATAATGAAATTTACATTGCACAAAATGTGCACTAAGAATTAATAATCACGAAATAGGTAGTATTTCTTTGTAAATGCCGTTCAATGTTAACTCTTATTATCTAATGAATATTTGTCGTATTTAAGGTACATTTGTATCTTTATTAGTTATTATAATTAAATTGGTATGATAAGTCCTCTATCTTTGAGTACCCACTCCACTTTCTTTCTCTTCTTTTTTTTCCTCATCATATTTATGGTATTGGTATTCAATCAGTCGCCTTAGGTCATTTTTCATTTTAAGTACTTAAATGCAGTTTTTTTAGTCTTTAGGTTATTTTATGATTTATCTAATACAGATAAAATGTTAGTTATCTACAAAAGATTATTTCATTAACAAATTTAAGTCCAAAGAATAGTATTTTAACCTACAAATCGTTTAACCTTCATAATTTCATCCGCCATTTTGATTTCTAATGAACTTCATATCCTACGTCCGACGCAAATTCTTGCTTCGCTTTGTTGGCTTGAATTATTAATAACTATTTAAAGAAAGAATAAATCTCTCACAAGTCACATTATTTTTGCAAAATGAGCTCTTAATATTCCGAATACCTACTATCAATAATAATATGTTCAAATGCAAAAATGCATCTAATAGTACCTAATATGTAAAACTTCGATTTATAAAAAATATTTTTGTAAAATGTCCAAAGTTAATATTTTTTGCATAGAAGCGACAGTTAAAGTACAAGCAGTGGTTCTCTAAGGAAATACGAGTTCTACCAGTTCTTCTACGTATTGAATTTACAAGTTCTATATCCATTGCCTAAAGCGAAAGCTCCTCTCAAATCGCGGACCAACAAAGGCGGCAATGTATACTATCCATATTGTTTTTGAAATTCTGAGTAACGGATTGTACGGTATGAATGTAAAAGTTGGGTTGGTTAATTAATATTAGTTAAAACTGATTACGCAAATTTTATTAAAGTTAAGTTGCCTACAATACATTTTGGCATAGTCCCATATGTGCCATATTTCTTTTGTCTCGATTTCATATAACAATGTGAAGAAAAAAAGCAAGTAAATGCACATCCTATTTTAGGTACATATCTAACTAATCGTTTCTGGTCATTTTTCTCAATCTCTTAAACATTTAAACGATTTTTAAAATATGCAACTAAGTGGCTTTTTGATTCCTAATAATATGTATTGCGTATAATAATAAACGTAGTACTGCCCACTATTACGTTTATCATCAGCAAACTGGGAATTTGACATCATTAAGATTTTTGGCCCAGAAACATTAAGAAGTTCTCTATAATTTTAACAAAATAAGTAATAAATACAAAAAATATCATCGGAAAATGTTCCAGAAAGTCTTATTACTCTAGATTCGTCATATAAATCTGCTAGCAGATAAATATCTATTTTAGTGATGACGTTTGGGTCTGACCTGACTAGGCGTGTATCGGCAGTTTTCGGCCTTGTTCGGGCAGTTTCGCATCGAGTCCGCCAGCCCACACGACGTTGCCCTGTTCTGTGCTAAACGGCAACGTCGCGTGTTCTCAATAATAAATTCTGTATTATGGTTATTTTTTTTCTTTTAGTTGGCATTTTAGTTGAATACAAGGTTTTAATTATTAACATTGTTTGTTTAATTTTTCTACTGGGTACATTAATTCAGCAGTAGAAAAAAAAACTTAATATTTGCTCAGCTCTCATTTCCATGATTTCAGAATTGCATTATGTGTAAAAATTGCAAATATTGATTTTGACAACAGAGATGCCATAAACTAAATAGTAGAATACAAGAGAATGAGTCGGTGCTGTAGATATCACCGGAGTATCTCCACAGTACACTTGTACTAATCGTGCTCGTGCAGAGTAATGAATGCTCTGAATATATTAATTCCGATAACGTTGTGATCTTTTGTTGTCTCTTTCTACCACGCGGAGTATTATGATAGGCATCTCGCTTTCGCGGGCCTACATATATTCCGAACACCGGTACAGCTGTCTCTGAGCTATATTTTCACTGTGAATTTTAGTTTCCATTCCCGCCACTAGCGGCGTAGCTACTTTATCGGCGGCCATTTTCTTCTCTCTCCTTCTGCTTGCCAGTATGGTTCAAGTCGCGTTGTTGTGCGTTTGTATATCGTGATTAAATGTATCTTCTTATTCGTTCTTCTTTTTTCTGGAGTGACTTGTGCTTACAATTCATCGGGATTTCCGGTGGATTTATGGTATATATTTAATATTTAATTGTATATACACAATTTTTTCTAAATTTTTGATGACTATTGTATTGTTTTTGCTTTTTTAGTTGATAAAATTGAACGACCTTGACGTTGCTTCTTTTCTTCTGCTATTTAAAACGAATATTGTTGTTTTTTTTCTTGGTTTAATTAAGTAAATAATAATTAAAATATCGGAGAGAAAAGTTTCATTAAAATATGTTCAGTAGGTACTTTTACTTCGCGCGCCAAAATATTGAACGATGTTCCAAATTTCGTTTATGCTTACTTAAAAAAGAACCATAAATCTATCAATATAATAAAAATATATTTCTAAAAAAAAATAAAAAAATTTTTGCAGTCTCGTAGCGCTATTATATTTTTAGACAGCATCGACCTTGGAGATAAATAACCGTCTCGCCTATCTTCAAACTGAAAGACTTTCATCAATCAATGTTTTTTTTTCGGTCTTTTATTCCTCGTTCAATATGAGACCATATCGGTCCTTTCCACCTTCTCTTCATTTTTTTCATAGTCTATCTCACTCTTTCGCGGTGCTTCATCAATGACATTTATGAAATAGCAGACTTTGCTGGTTCCGTCGTCGAAAGACTGACTAGAGTGCAGCTCTACGCCAGTGAATGCGGAATTTATTCCTGTACACGGTGTTTTAACCGCTCGGCCGCCATTTTGTTTTAACGATAACCTAATAGTGATGAGTGACGACATGTTTCATTTACGTCGACATTTTATATTTGTTTACTTTTTCGATTTTTATTAATTTATACTTTTTTCTATTACATATACAGGACACTTAAACGACAATAATAGACACTGATAAATTATGAATGTGATTTAATGCAATGATTTTTTCTATACTTTTGTAATTCCTTTTTATGTCTTGAAGTTTTTTTTTAAATTAAGCTTTCTTTGTTTTCGTTACAATGAATAAATTATAATATCGTATGTAATTTAACCTTTGTTTGTTATTTTTCATTAGAACTACAAATAATAAGACCAGGATATTCTTATCTTTAAAAAAAATTGTTTTTTAAATAAATTTGAACTGTCGATTAAATCTTTTATAGTTTCTATAATTTTAACTAGATTAAAGATGATATAATTTTTGTTTTAAGAAAAAAAATTAAGACAAATAAGGATTAAAAAATTTACTGGAATATATGTAAATACAAAAAACCCTAAACTGGACATGTTTTTGTTTACTTTTGTGATCTTAATAGCCATTGAATATTATACTGTGTCAGATGTGGATACTGTTACCTGTTGAAATTGTTTAAGAGGTAAATCATAATCAGTAATATGGTAAAAAGCAGTGTTTTTTAAAAGGCGGTCATATAGCATTCAGCCGGGACTTATGATTTTGGTCAATATTACCGGTATGTTGGTCTAAACGATGTCGTGAACGCGTTTAACTGTATGTATATCATTCTCCACGTAAAGAAATTCTTTAAATCGATTGGTAAACAAATATTACCCAGAATATAATTACATATTATGATTATGTTTATAAAATGTACTTTTTATGTTGGAATATATATTAATTTTTCGTGGATAATATTAAAATCATTTTATGTACATAAAATTGGTTGCTACTTACAATATTATATTGTAAACTAACAATAATAAATAGGTAATAAAACCTTAACATTCTTGTTATTACGTTGACGTACATCACTATTCGGAATTTGTTGTTAATTATTAATTTATTAGGCAAGTGCCCAAACTTTTTGAAATGTTTAAAAAACATTATAAAGTAAAGAAAGACACATAGATAAAACATACCGATTAGGTAGTAGGTACCTACCTACTACCTAAACTACTTTGGCAAAACAAAAATCTTTCTAAATAAAATAAATGGGCCAATTTAATATTACGTCTATTTGTTCTATGTTTACGATCGTCACAATAATTTTAAAAATACTGTAACAAAATTTCTTTGTGCTATTATTACAGTAATATTTACAACTTTATTTATTAACTAGCATTGCCCGTGGCTCCGGCCGCATTCAGATGACCAAAACCAAATTCTTAGATTTTACATATTAGTATACTCTTACATCGCAGTTTTTGTATTTTTTTTTCTCAGAAATGAGACATTTTCCCGCGATAAAAATTAGTTTTATCCTATATGTTGACCCGGTTATCCAGCTATCACCAAACCAAATTTCATCAAAATCCCTCCAGTGGTTTTTCTTTGATGCGGTAACAGACAGACACAAAAATTCTAAAAACTATAGATTCGGCCTCTGTATCGATAATAATGTTTATTTCATAAGATTTTCAAAAATATTTAATGTACAGATTCGGCTTAGTTACAATTTTATTATATGTATTGATAGTTACAAGTCAAATAGTTAGCCAGTTGTTCAGATTTTTTTTTATTAATACGAAGATTTAACTTTCACTCAAATACATATGAGTAATCTTAGAATAAATAATGTCCTGTTCCAATGACAAGTAAATGGTGCGATAAATTGCGAAGTTTTAATTGTAATCTATAATTTAGATATACATACTAATATTATAAAGAGACAGAGTTTGTTTGAACGCTATCTCAGGAACTACTAATCCGATTTGAAGAATTCTTTTTGCATTAGATAGCCCGTTTATTGAAGAAAGCTATAGGCTATTATATATCATCGTGTTACTACTCAAGGGAGCGAAGCAGTAATTATAAATGTCAACAAATCGGGCAGGCTTCCATACATAATTGTAAAACTGATGTTTATATCGGAAGTTTGAATTTGAACCGGGCTATGAAGTATCTTAAAGCAATAAATCATCACCTATACAATCTATTAATGGCTGCATTAAAATATTTAAAATGAACAAAAATATGTATTTATATTTAAATAGTCATAAACTGATTCTATTCAAATTTAACAGCTCCTAATTTTTATTTTTTATTTTCAGAATGAGCGGCTTACTGAGTTAAGGAGACTAGTGAAATGCTGAACAATGCAATTAATTTTAAATACTGATTCAGACATAGACATTCCAAGGAACATGTCAGTAATTGAACAAGAATCACTTTCATTGGATGGAAAATTTACTAATCACGACGTTAAGAACAAAGTCGAAAATGATATCCCTAATTTTATGGAAGATGTCATAGACAATGATTCAGATGATTGCCAGGACAATGAGGATTCCATAGTTGATAATGTTAAAAGAGACAGCAGAAATTTAGGAGAGAAAAATGATGACGAGACTCAAAAAGAAAACGGCAGTGACAATGAAAGCAATCAAAGAGAGTCTCATAATAGTATTGAGGTAATTAATGAAGTAGAACAGCTAAATGTGATAGAAAATAATATCAGCTGGAGTGTTGAAAATAAAGATGAAAATGAACTTAGTGAACAATTAAAAGATAGTAAAATTCTTACTGAAGATGTTAATGACGAAGATGAAGAACACCTAGAAAACAAAATTGTCTTAAAAGATTTAGAAAATGAAAATGAGAAAGATAAAGAAGTAATGAGCAATCCAATAGAATTAAACTTGCAGGACATTTCTCAAAGTAATGAAAAAAGTATTGAAGGAAAAGAAACAAGTATATGCGAAGAGAATAAAATTGAAAACGAAGACAAGAATCAAGAAAAAGTGAGCTCAGTATCTGATATTATTACGTGTGAGGGAATTGATTATGAAAATAAAGAATGTAATGATGTAAATATACAAGATTTCAACGAGGATAGTGATACGGAAAAAGAATGTAAAATAGAAAAACAAATTGCCACAACTTATGAAAGTTGCGAAAAAGAGAGGCAGGAAGTTGTAAAAAGTGAATTTTTTATGAGGATAAAGAAAGTTAGTGAAATAAATGAAGAAAATTTACTTGAAGAAAAATCAGATAAAAGAAAAAATGAACCTACAGGTACTAATTTATTAGATAAAGCGAACGATGAAGAAGTCACTGAAGTTAAAAATGTATCCTTAGAAAATGAAATACAATCTGAAACTAAGGAAGAAGATTCAGAAGACCTAGAAAAAACGGAACTTAAATTGAATAAGGAAAGTAACAAATGCGTTGAAAATGAAGAAATCATAGATATAGCCGATGAAAAGGATGAAGAATGTATTACTGTGATAGATCAAGATATGTGTGAAGTCGATAAAGAACCAGAAAAAATATTAGATTTAGAAGATAATTTAGTGTCTAGTGAAAATACAAAGCCGAAGACTGATATTGAATGTAATGATCAAGAAAATGTTGTTAGTGCAGAAAGCAAGGAAAATAGTGAAAATCCAGATCATTCAAAAGAAATTAAAATAAGTGACAACTTAAAAATTCCGCTTGATGATGATGTAACAAATAGTCAATCAATTAAACAAGTCAGCACGCCTATTAGTAGCATAAAAGAAAAGAAACCACTCTTACATATAAGTAAATTGTCTAATACTCTAGATATTTTATCTGATGATGAAGAAGAACCTTCTAAGGAAGAATCTCAAGTTCAATCTACAGTTGAAAAACAATGCATAAACATAGAAGATGATGATGACATAATGTTAATTGATGAAGAAACTTCAAAAGATACCAATAAAAATGACATCACGATCCCATCAGGAACAGACACGAAAAAAAATGAAAAAGAGCAGGGCCCTGAAGATTTAAAAGAAGATATTTCAATGGATGTTACTAATAACGATCAAGGTACAAAATCTTTTTTTTTTAATTTTAATACATATTCATAATCTACATTATCTGTCATTAAGAATGTTTAAACTAATGATGTTGAATATAATAACAAAGTCATATTAATAACTCTCGGGTATATATGTTGTATTTTAAATGTACAGGATGCCATAATACTTGTTTCGGTTTTCCGATTCCGTTGTACTAGAATTATAAATCTCTTTATTTTATTAAATAAAAAGTGACCTGCCCTCTCTTCCCCAAAGTTAGTTTTCTTGAGTTATAGTTGCAAAAGCAGACAAAGAAATAATAGGTTCTGTATGACTATGTATACGAAATACTATCCATTTATTTATTTTTTTCGAAAAAATATAAAGTTTCTTATATATATTCTTTAAACTCATTATTTTCAGATGTTGAGCCAGAATCAATAGTCAAGGAGGACAAAGTTACGGAGACGGAAACAAAAGATGATAAACAAGATAAAAAAACTGAAGAAAAACCATCAATAGATAGCACGTTATCGTCAAAGCCGTTACTGCCAGTAAATTTCCTTAAATCATGCAAAAAGAATTTGGCAGAAATGACAAGAGAAGAACTTGAAGAATTTTGTGTTCTAAAAATCGTAGAAAGCGTTGTCGACCGAAGTAATTTAAGCGAAATGAACTTACAGTTAAAGTCTATGGCACATAACATCGAAGATTATAAGAAAAAAACCAATACACTCATGAAACAAAACCGAGACTTGCAAGTTGTTTTAAAATCAGTTCAAGAAGAACAGAAGAAAAATTCCGGACAACCAATTACTCCTTTGAAAATAACTCGTTCTGTTGGTATGCAGGTGTTGATGATGGAGACATCAAGAAAAAAGTCTATGGCACCTAATAAGTTCCAAAATGCGCTACCCCCCAATTCTGTCAAATCAGCTAAATGTCAAAGTCCGAAAACACCAAAAAGTCAAAATCAGAATAACCAACAATACCCTGTACCTAGATTAGTACCAGCTGTTAACAATAGCAATACAAATAATAAAGTCCCAACTCCGACCCCAATAGCACCAAAGACGCAAAACAATGTACCAAATGGGATAAAAAATTCACTGCCAACACCAAAACCTGAAAAAAGATCATACGGCAAGATGCAGCAAGGGAATTCTATTACAGTAGACCTTACAGATGACGAACCTCCTTCAAAGATTGCTCAACGAAATATAGCGGCTCCTGTTAGATTGGTTCCACAACAATCTCTACTAACTCCCCAAAGGCCACAATTCGCAAATTCAGTAAACACTCCAAGAAAAGTGTATATACCCATAAGCGGTTCACAAAATCAAGTTGGACAGGCTATTGTGTTAAAACAACTTTCTCCTCATGGTAAGTTAAGTTTTTTATTAGAATATCTAATATTAAATATAAATCGTACTTATTTAATGATTTTTTAATTATTATTATTGTTTAAATGTCAATTCTTAATTTTAAATTTTGTCGTTAAGATTTTAAGGTGTTAAAATTAATAATTTTAAAATGTGTAATTTTAGTTCCGAGGCTACGAGGACCTGCCTTGTTGCCGAAACCTGGTACCTCAATAAGAATGCCAAGAATAGCTGCAAGGCATCCAGCGCCCTTACCCGATTCTATGAAACAATATCAACCTCCTAACTGGAAGGCTTTACCACCCGCACCTGAACTTAAACTATCAAAAGTAGAAAATGGTATAGTTATCTCATGGAAAATAGATGGCTACCAAGAAGAAAACCATGAAGAAATAGCTAGTTATCAGTTATACGCATATCAAGAAACATCTGCACCTCCAAATACAGCACTATGGAAGAAAATTGGTGACGTCAAAGCTCTACCATTGCCTATGGCATGCACTTTGACACAATTTATGGCGGGATACAAATACTTTTTCGCGGTGAGGGCCGTCGATGTCCGGTCTAGACTAGGACCATTTAGTTTACCCGGAAGTATACTTCTTTTGAATAAAATGTAAGACTGATTATGTTACTGTCTCGAGAGAAAATGAAAATATGTGCAATGTCATACATTGTGATTGTAAATATTTGGGAAATATTTGTTTTTATTATTATGACTACTCTACGGGATTATATTAATATATATCCCTTTAATGTTAGAGCTCTTGGTGGATTATTGTCATTGTGTAAATATAGTCTCAACTCAAAGTTCCGGATTTCGCGATCTATAATTTTTAGTACATAGATAATTTTAAGTAGCAAATTTACAAGGATAAATTAATAATGCGGAGTTGTTTTTATTGCACTTTAAAAAAGATGAGGAGAACTACAGTTATATTATAATTATTATAACATATAATAATTAAAAATTTGTACTAAATAGACTTGTCCGAAAATATTCTGTTCAGATAATACCGACTATCAAAATTGGTTGGCTACTCTATATCAGTGTAACTCACTAAACATTGCAAACATTATTGACAAAATAGAACTACAACGATTCTGAATGAAGAATTTTACATTCATGGATCGTTCTAGCCCCAGTTTTTTCTTTCTATGTGTATTGATGTAATATTTTTTTCATTGTAGTACTCGTGTATTCTGTTTTAAAGTGCGTTAAAAGAAAGCAATGATTGAATAATGAGTGTTGTTTTATTTATTTCTTTAAAAGTAAATGAAAATTTATGAAGATGGCATTCTTGTCATATTTTGACTTTTCCACTCTGGCTGTTAAAGAATCTTATTAGTCTGAGATCCCGATCTATGTGTGTACATCTCATTCTTTTATCAGACGAAGTATATTTTTCAAACCATAAAACATATTGACTAGCACGACTCAGAGCACGACAGAAAACACGAAGAAAACACGACCAAAAATTTTTCTCCAGATATTTTTTAATAGATAACCTCTAGTCTGGTGATATTTTGGTATGACAACCCTTTATCATTATATTTGTTATAAAATTTGATACATTTTGATACTTGGTTCGAACAATGAACTACTTCAATATACCTAGGCTACTTATACCTGGATGTCGGGTAATGTGCTCGAAAAAGGATTTTTTTTTATTTATTATAGCCTGGAGGAAACTTTGGTGACAACCCTGGGTTGTGTTTCTTATTATGTTTTACGGTTAAAAAAATTCGTCTGGAAAAAGAATGAGGGGTTCACCACAAACATCGGTATATCCTACAAGGTATATACATAACTGTGTATGTTTATTTTATAACTTCTAGCTGAAACGACTCGACCGACGGATTTGAATGAAACTTAGTATACCTACCAGATAGGTTATGGCATGATCTACTTAGCACAGCTTTATATACTACTAGCGGCTCACCCTCGCTTCGCTCGGGTTCACCTCTAGAAAAGCACAAACAGATCTATCCCACGGGAACCATTCATTTTTCCGGGATGAAAAGTAACCTGTTGTTTGACCGGCAATATAAGGTATCAGCATGCCAAATTTTACTAAATTAGGTGAATAAGTTGTTGTGTACTAAGCTGTATAAGTTACTATAGTTTTTTAACTATACCACGAAAACTTTAATTTTTCGGGATGAAAAGTAGCTGATTTGTTTTTGTCATGTATGAGCTACATTATTGTAAAGTTTCATTAAAATCCAATCAGTAGTTTTTGTGTACTAAGCTGTATAAGTTGTTATAGTTTTTTAACTATCCCACGGGAACTCTTTAATTTGCCGGGATGAAAAGTATCTAAGATGTTGCACGGGGATATAAGGTATCACCATGCAAAATTTCATTTAAATCGGTCCAATAGAATCGGAGATTAGCCCGTACAAACAGAAAAACAGACAAACAGCTCGCTCGGGGTCGTCCATACCTACGAATATGTTGTATTATCTCTTTAACCATTTGTCCAAATTATATGCAGTAAAAGGGAAAAGTCTTTTGTTTTAAATATTTTAGACGATAAATTTACTTATTTTGATAAGAATTTATAATTGTTGATAATATGACCAATAAACATGACCTACCGATTTAATTTATTTTTGTAATATAAAAAACTACTCTTTGTGACTTAAATATAAATGTTAGACATATGCTGTCGCGGACTTTTTTGTAGGCATTATTAAGCTCTACAACTTTTCTCTAGAACATAATCATATATCTCTCATCGTTAAGGCAGCGTTCGTAAGAAACATTTTCGTTCGACCGTTTTTTCTCCAACTTACTTTGCAAATCCGACTACCACGAAAAATTCTTTGCATTTTTCGGGTTAATATATAGCCTATGACACTCAGAAAGAACGTGGCTTTCTATTGGTAAAAGAATTTTGTAAATCGGTTCAGTAGATCCAGAGATTACCCCCTACAACGTCACAAACTCACAAACTCACAAACCCACAAACTCACAAACTCACAAGATCACAAACTTTACCTCTTTATAATATTAGTATAGATTAGAATTTGTCAAAAGGTGGCAGTGATCGTTTGCCAAAAGATGAATACACGTGACAATTAATGAAAAATTAAATGAAAATAGATATGTGATAATTTAATATTAAGTCACAAAAGATACATGCAGTCGCACTCCCAATTGTCCCAAGTGCGACCGTGTGGCGGTAAGTTCCTAGGAATTAATAATAGAAACCATATTATAGATTTTAAACGTATTTAAAGAATATTCATTAATAGTATGTGAATTCAATTTAAGTAAATTACAACTGTACATAGAAAAAAAGGCTGACTAAATAAGTATATCTTCGATTAACAGTAGTATTGTTGATCGAAGAAATAAATAAGAATTGTCATATGAATATAGCTAGCAATAAAACATATCAATGAACCTAAATTCAAATATATTTTCATATTGGATCTTAACATCAAACCAGGTTGATGGCACTAATTTATTATAATTTGTGTACGGTATATTTGTAAGATCTCAAATCGATTTATAATACGAATAACTAAGTATGTAAGTTAAGGTCGACTTTCTAAATGTGTTTTTTTTTACTTTTTCGGTTTATAAAATTGTGTTCCTATAAAATCTATAATTTTGGACAAAGTACCAGTTCAAAGAAATCTTTACATTTTTCCACTGCCAACTCCGTCATTGTCTTCTGTCACTAACGTCAATAAGTATGATATTTTTGGATCGTGAAACTGGTCGCGTTTCCACTTTCCAGTTGTCAATAGAATTGTGCCGTGGTGAATTGCGCGTTCGAATTTTTAAATAATACTTATTTTGGCGCGTTAGGGAATAAATAAAGTATCGAGTGAATTTTTATGATACGCGCGTAAAGCGACGTAATTAGAATACTGCATGGATGACTAATATAAGACTACAGTATGAAGTTAGTCGTTATTAGATTACAGTATGAAGTAAGCCGTTATTAGACCACAGTATTAAGTTAGTCGTTAAATCTCCCTTTAGTATAGTGTGAAGTGATGTCTGTATCCAACTTTCAAGATATTTATTCCGGTATTTCTATATACGCAACACGTCTTTTACATCGATAAAAATAAAAATTATTACATACGATGGTAAATGATATCAAATAATTATTGTGAATATTTTATATAATAATATCTTTAAAAACATTGATTAATTGTGAATATAAGTAATTAAAGTTGTTTTTATAATTATTTCAAAGAATTCTTGAAGTTATACTGCTTTTAGGACGTTTGGAAAATATTATGAGAGTAAAATTTTTACGATGCGCGCGCACACCGACAGCCAAATAGCGACATGATGAAGTTAGCTGATAACTGTTTGTTGCCATCGTAACCGTTGTTTTATGTATCATCGAGGTTAACTGATGTATGTATTATTTTTTTACATTATTTATAAATTATTATTACTTAAATAAATAAATAATTTATTTTGATTATTTTAATTTTCTATATATACATGTAAATAGTAAAAGTTCCTTTTGCTTGTTGGTAGCCATTATAGTATTCTCATTTATTAAATAATTATATTTAAAAAATAAATAAGCAAATATTTTATTTTGATTGTCTTTTATATATCAACTGTTTACATGTAGGTATGGATGTTGGATATATATATTGAATAAAAAACCATTTAGTTTTGTATGAGTATGAATTTTGTAGACAAATTTTAGAAACTGTTACTAACCCACGTAAAATAAGTTCAAAAACTTTAAATAAAAATGCGTAGGTAACTTTTTGTATTGTTTCAATAAATATTTTTAATGAATTTAATTTTTGCTTTCCTTTTTATAGTTATATTGAATAGTTTACTATATATTATACTACGAGTAGCATTGCCGCCCGCGTTCAAATGACCAAAAACCAAATTATTAGGTTTTACATATTACTATACTCTAACACTGCAGTTTTTGTATTTTTCTCAGAAATGAGGTACTTTCCCACGGTAAAAAGTGATGATGATGTTCTCCTAGCCGATTCCGGCCACGGCGGCCAATCTCATTGAGACTAGCCAACTGCGCAGGAGATATTATAGTGCACAAGTGTACGCGCAGACACAACGTGCACTCTCTATTCCTGTCACTCTCATACTCCGGTGGGACGACTGCTCGACACGACCAGTGAGAGTTAAGGCGCAGGACCGACAGCTTTACGTGCTCTTCGAGGCACGGGGGTGAAACACCGCCAACTTCCCAACTCCGGGCTGTTACTGAGACTTACTATACAGAAAGACTCAATAACTAAACTTGGTCCGACCCGGGACTCGAACCCAGGACCTCCGAATGTGCAGCCGTACATGCTAGCCACTACACCACCGAGGCAGAAAAAAATTGTAATAGGTAATTGTAAAAGTTGTAATAGGTAAAAAGTATCCTATATGTTGACCCGGATAACCAGTTATCACCATACCAAATTTCATCAAAATCCCTTCAGTGGTTTTTCTGTGATGCGGTAACAGACAGACAGACAGACAGACAAAAATTCTAAAAACTATAGATTCGGCCTCTGTATCGATAATAATATCTATTTCAATAAGATTTTCCAAAAATATCTAATGTACAGATTCGGCTTAGTTACAATTTTATTATATGTATAGATAACTATTATTATATATTTTTTAAATTTAATTATTTGTTACTAAAATTCATTTTAATTATTTTTTTATTTGAAATCAATTAAGTCACTAAAATAAATCAAGATAAATTTTAATTAATACTCAAAATTTATTAAGTTTAAATCATCAATTAAATCGGAAAAAAAATTTTTTTTTCTACAATACTCATTTATTAAGCTATAATCTCTTGCAGTTTTCTTATTGACCAGTATCAGTATACATTTTCGGTTTCAGTTTTCAAGATGCCTAAAACAAATGCGGAAATTTGTCGGGCGTATAGGTTGCGAAAAAAGAAGATTGCACAAGGATACCGATCTTCTGTGAATGAAATTTTATCTACACCATCAACTTTAAATTTGTCGCCTCAGCCTGTGATTACCGAGTCATCGTTGCCTACTGCAGTACACGATAATTTCCACTGTATTATTGTGCAACCGGATGTGCCTGTAGAAAATTCGTCTATGCTGTATTATCATCGTACAACATCGGAAAATATTACATCAACAAAAATGGACCAAAGTCCTCGATCTCGAGCACGAAAAAATAATCAACAGTTAGCTGATGCTTCGATTATACATGTTTTGTCTAATCAAGACATTGTACTGGACCAAGAACGTCATTCGTTAAATCAAGACGTAATCACGGATCAGGAATTACCTCAATCAGACGTACAAATTATTAATTCCAAGTCTTCAGACCACTTAATAATTAATCATTCCACTGGTAAGAAAATTGTTATGAATTTAAATCCATCTTAACCGTATAGCAATCATAATAAATTTGAACGGTCTTATCCGGAATTCAAAATAAACGTCTCAATCAATTCATTTTGACATCCAAGCTCAGTATGAGATAGGTTGTGGTTTCAAAACGATTTAAAAAAGACATCTGATGAACATAAGGTTATTCTGACAGAAATTTATGTACCTGTAGGATTATTTTTGTTTCGTTATGCCAAAGAAGTACATAAGTAGGTACACACACACTTTTTTTATACATAATATATATGTGTGTAGTGGCTAGCATGTACGGCTGCACACCCGGAGGTCCTGGGTTCGAGTCCCGGGTCGGACCAAGTTTAGTTATTGAGTCTTCCTGTATAGTAAGTCTCAGTAACAGCCCGGAGTTGGGAAGTTGGCGGTGTTTCACCCCCGTGCCTCGGAGAGCACGTAAAGCCGTCGGTCCTGCGCCTTAACTCTCACCGGTCGTGTCGAGTGGTCGTCCCACCGGAGTATGAGAGTGATAGGAATAGAGAGTGCACTTGTGTCTGCGCGTACACTTGAGCACTATAATATCTCCTGCGCAGTTGGCTAATCTCAATGAGATTGGCCGCCGTGGCCGGAATCGGCTAGGAGAACATCATCATCATCATCATGCCATTAAAAATGTTAAAACTAAGAATGTGCTGAACATAATTACGAGTTTGTAATATTAATGACACTTGGGTTATTACATTATATGTTTGTAGTATTCTTGAGTATACAGGATGCCATATTTGTTTTGCATTCAGTGGGTAACATTGCATTATTGTACTAGAATTATAAATTTGTTTCTTTCATTAAATAACAAGCGACCAGCCTTTTTTACCCTCAATTCAGTTTTCTTGAGTTACAGTTATAAAACAGACAAAGAAATGTTAGGTTTGGTAAGACTATGTATACGAAATACTATCCTTCTTGTTTTTAAAAAACGTAAAGTTTCTAATATATATTGTTTAAACTCATTATTTTCAGATTTTGAGTCAGAATCAATAGTCAAGAACGAAAAAGTTACAGTGACGGAATCTAAAGTTGATAAGCAAGATGAAAAAACTGAAGAAGAACCATCACTAGATAGCACGTTATCGTTAAAGCCGTTACCAAATCTTACAGATGAAGAATCTCCTTCAAAGGTTGTTCAACGAAATATAGCGGCTCCTGTTAGATTGGTTCCACAACAATCTCTACTAATTCCTCAAAGGCCACAATTCGCAAATTTAGTAAACACTACAAGGAAAGTGTATATACCCATAAGCGGTTCACAAAATCAAGTTGGAAAGACTATTGTGTTAAAAAAACTTTCTCCTCATGGTATGGAATATCTAATTTTAAATATAAATCGTATTTATTTAGTGATTTTTTAAATAATTAATATCATTATTGTTTATATTTAATGTCATTAATAATTTTAAAATGTATTTTTTTAGTTTCGAGGCTACGAGGACCTGACTTATTGCCGAAACCTGGTACCTCAGTAAGAATGCCTAGAATGGTTGCAAGGCATCCAGTGCCCTTACCCGATTCTTTGAAACAATATGAGCCTCCAAACTATAAGAATTTACCAACCGCACCTGAACTTAAACTATCTGAAGTAGAAAATGGTATATTTATCTCATAGAAAATAGATTTTTTTTCTACATAAATACTTATTTATTAAAATCTCTTCCAGCTTTCTCATAGACCAGTATCAGCAGATATATATATTTAAATTTCGGTTTCAGTTCTCAAGATGCCAAAAACTAACGCAGAGAATTGCAGAGCATATTACTATCGTAACAAAAATAAAAGCGTAAAAAAAAAGCGGTCAGCAAAAACAAACGCGGAACTTTGTCGGGCGTATAGGCTGCGTAAAAAAAAGATTGCACAAGGATACCAATCTTCTGTGAATGAAATTTTATGTACACCATCAACTTCAAATTTGCCCCCTCAGCCTGTGATTACCGATTCATCGTTGTCTACCGCAGTACACGATAATTTCAACTGTATTACTGAGCAAACTGATATTCAAATCGAGAATTCATCAACGACTTCCGGACCACCGCCTCAGCCTATAATTACCGATCCATCGTTGTCTTCTGCAGTACACGATAATTTCCACTGTATTATTGTGCAACCTGATGTGCCTGTAGAAAATTCTTCCGTGCTGGGTTACCACCGTACAACATCGGAAAACACTACACCAACAAAAACGGACCAAAGTCCTCGACCTGTAGCACGAAAAAATAGTCAACAGATAGCTGATGCTTCGATTATAAATGTATTGTCTAATGAAGACATTGTACTGGATGAAGAACGCCATTCATTAAATCAAGACGTAATCACGGATCAGGAATTGCCTCAATCAGACGTATTAATTATTAATTCCAAGTCTTCAGATCATTTAATAATTAATTATTCCACTGGTAAGAAAATTGTTATGAATTTAAGTCTATCTTTACCGTATAGCAATTATGATCAATTTGAACGATCTCATCCGGAATTCAAAATAAATTTCTCAAACAATTAATTTCGACATCCATGTTCAGTATGTGATTGGTTGTGGTTTCAAAACGATTTAAAAAATACATCTGATGAACATATGGTTATTCTGACAGGAATTATGTACCTGAGGAATTATTTTTGTTTCGTTGTGCCAAATAAGATATACTTCTATGGCACAACGAAACAAAAGCAAAGCCAAAGAAGTTTGCCAAAGAAGTTTGCCAAAGAAGTATATCTTCTTACGTACGTACATACGTACATACACATTTTTTATGCATAATCGTAGTCTAGACTATCTGTCATTAAGAATGTTTAAACTAAGAATGTTGAATATTTTAAAATACAAGTTTGTAATATTATTAACACTTGGGTTATTACATATATATGTTGTATTCTTGAGTATACAGGGCGCCATATTTGGTTTGCATTCAGCGGGTAACGATGCCATTGTACTAGAATTATGATTTTTTTTATTCATTAAATAACAAGCGACCAGCCCTCTCTTCCCTCAAGTTAGTTTTCATGATTTAAAGTTGTAAAACAGACAAAGAAATATTAGATTTTGTAAGACTATGTATACAAAATACTATCCTTATTGTTTTTGAAAAACTTAAAGTTTCTAATATATATCGTTTAAACTCATTATTCTCAGATGTTGAGTCAGAATCAATAGTCAAGAACGACAAAGTTACAGAGACGGAATGTAAAGATGATAAACAAGATGAAATAACTGAAGAAAAACCATCACTAGATAGCACGTTATCGTCAAAGCCGTTACCAAATCTTACAGATGACGAACCTCCTTCAAAGGTTGATCAACGAAATATAGCGGCACCTGTTAGATTGATTCCACAACAATCTCTACTAACTCCTCAAAGACCACAATTCGCAAATTCAGTAAATACTCCAAGAAAAGTGTATATACCCATAAGTGGTTCACAAAATCAAGTTAGACAGGCTGTTGTGTTAAAACAACTCTCTCCTCATGGTAAGTTAAGTTTTAATTGAAAATTATTATTGTTGTTTATTTTAAAGTCAATTCTTAGTTTTAAATCTTATCATTAGGGTTTTAAGGTGTTAACATTATTATTTTAAAATATATTATTTTAGATCCGAGGCTACGAGGACCTGCCTTATTGCCGAAATCTGGTACCTCAGTAAGAATATCTAGAATAGCTGCAAGGCATCCAGCGCCCTTACCCGATTCTTTGAAACAATATCAACCTCATAACTGGAAGGCTTTACCACCCGCACCTGAACTTAAACTATCTAATGTAGAAAATGGTATAGTTATCTCATGGAAAATAGATGGCTACCAAGAAGAAGACTATGAAGAAATAGCTAGTTATCAGTTATACGCATATCGGGAGACATCTTTACCCCCAAATACAGCACTATGGGAGAAAATTGGTGACGTCGAAGCTCTACCATTGCCTATGGCATGCACTTTGACAGAATTTATGGCGGGATATAAATACTATTTCGCGGTGAGGGCCGTCGATGTCCGGTCTAGACTAGGACCATTTAGTTTACCCGGAAGTATACTTCTTTTGAATAAAATGTAAGACTGATTATGTTACTGTGTCTAGAGAAAATGAAAATATGTGCAATGTCATACATTGTGATTGTAAACATTTGGTTTTTATTCATTAAATCACTATTTACGGGCTTTTATTAATTATATTCCGAAAATCCCGTTAGTTAATGTTAGAACTCTTGGTGGTTTACTCATAATACTCATCAGTCAGTCAACTTCTTTTCATCTTTTTAGTTCGCTCTTTACGCAGTCGGGTTGTTTATTTTTGTAAAAAAAAAAATTACCTTCCGTGCCTAGCGTTTGCCTTAGCAAATAATAATTGACATAATAATATAGATAGCAGTAAAACTACTAAATAAACCTAAATTCTAAGAAAATTTCTCTTTATAAATCTTCTCATCAAACGTGGTTCATAGCACTAATTTATTATAATACATTGTGTACGATATACTTGTAAGATAATAATAAATAAAAAATAAAAAAGAAAAATGTACATGAAAAATATAAAAATAACTATGTACAAGGGGCGGCCTTATCGCTAAAACAGCGATACAGATTTGCTATTACAGATCTGTAATCGATATAATAACTACGTATTTTAACTTCGATTTTCTAGATATGTTTTTCTTACATTTCAAGCTTATAAAATTGTTTTCCTATGAAATATAATTTTGGTCATACCAGTACAAAGAAATCCTTTATATTTAAATTACTTTTTACCACTGCCAACCCCATCATTGTCATCTGTCACTAACGTCAGTAAGTATGATATTTTTGGTTGGTAAAACTGGTCGCGTTTCCAGTTGTCGATAGAGTTGTGCCGTGGTGGATTGTTCGTTCGGATTTTTTTATAGCTTCAAATTTGCTTACTTCGTAAGCGTTTATATTATCTTAATTAAATACATTATCTTCTGGTAAGGTTAAAACTAACCGTGTTTGTGTTTTATCTAAAATATTTTAGTTAATACATTTAAGATAATTTGACGTCGATTGACATATCGTTTCGCAAGTAGTTTCTAGTGTTTCCACGGAGGTGTTTTTATTTGTGTACGTTTTGTGAAAAACATCCGCCAGGTGTAATTTTGTGATAATTGTGTAGTGTTTGTGGTAAAAGAAACTGTTTGATTGATATTACCTATACATGTTATAAATATAGGCGTTTAACGTGTGAAAGTATATTGTAGGGTATTGAATGTTGTTTTCTGTACTTGTGTCAAGTGAAAAATGCTGTTAAATTGGTTAAATTTTACCAACAACACTATGAAGGTATGAATATATTTTTATGCTTTATATAACAATTGATTTTTTTCCTCCGTTATGTTAATTTCTATAATAATAATGAGATATTATTTATTATAAGTATCCAAAACCATTTGCTTATTATAATTAGAGAAATAAAATTTTATTCTTTATCATTATTATTGGTTTAAAATAACAATGAAAGACTTAAACTGTACTGTATATAAATATCCATAAATATACACATACAGTACATAGATGTATGTGGTAGTGCAATTTCATTAATACATGTGAATAAGGTCACTAGCTATTGTCTTATTGCATTACAAAGAATCATTCATATAATAAATAAATAAGAAATCTGTTTGCAGGTGTACCAAATTGTATATTAACAATATAATATTTTGCCAAATTATACTCTTATTTAATTTTACTTTATATATTAAATATACTTTGTAGGCATTAAATTACTTTGTCATGTTCTTTACACAGTACATCAAAGAGAAAAAATATATAACTTATTTGTACTGTATCAAAATAAAAAAAAGTGATGGGTCATATAAGTATGGTTTATTTTAAAAATGCTATCAAAGTTTGACATTGCAGTCATTATCATAAAAAATAAACATGTCACAGATACAAGATAAATGTGATTACATGTAGATTTACATTTCAGAGATCCTATATATGTTATTATATATAAACTTTCTTTAACAGTTAACATGGTAAAACATTCAATGTGGTCTTAAAACTTTAAGTAAGTGGGTTGGCCACAAGAATTTTAATTTATACTTAACTTTAAAAATAAAATAAAATACTTATTCAAAATATTTTACTCATAAGATGTGTGATGAGTTAAACATGTAAAAAAGTAACGACACTGTTTTATGGAAAAAAAATTTAATTATGTTTATATCTTTATACTTCGATCAACAATACTATTGTTGGTCTTTATAGTAAGATATTTGAAGTCTTTATAGTAAGATATTTATTTAATAATTGCAAGTCATAAATCAACCATAAACACATAATATTAATTAAATAATGATTGCATGTATATGTTATAAAAACTTTAATTATATATAAAATATTGCAAAAATATTAAAGTTTATTAAAAGAGTAAACCAAGCAATCTATAAGTTTGAAAAGATAAAATATAAGCAAACAGACAACTTACTACTACTTTGTTAGCAAAAAGATATCAAAAGTACAATCCTACTGACTTAACAAACATTATTATGACAGGAAGTTTTATGATTGCACACAATTTATTAAATTTATTTTTACCTAAGAATCAAGGAATGTCTTACTTTTATCAATTAAATCTTTCGGAAACTTCTCATCTATACAGATAAATAAAATTGAAGTGTCTGTTTGTACTGTCAAAATAACAACTTTTTACTAAATGCATATGAGATTATACTTACATAGTACATATAAGAAAAACAAAACTTTTTAATTTTTTTGTCTTTCTGTTTGTTCCGGGTAATATCTGAAACGTCTGAACTGATATTTATGGGACTTTCACTGGCAGATAGCTGATGTTATAAGAAGTAATTTAGGCTACTTTTATTTTAGAAAAAAAATTAGGGTCTCCCTCAAAAAAATTAAAACATACCTGGACGCATCCAAGCAAAGCAAGTCGCTAGTGTAAAGTAAAATCAAGTTACATATAGCCAAAATATTATTAGATTGTAAAATAAAGTTTATAAAATTGTATAGATAAACATAATACTTATATCTATATGGTGTTATAGAACTTTCTCTTGCTGATGAAAATATTTTATTTGTATCATTAGATACTGATATTTTTTTATTTTGATATTGAATTATATTTTAAATCTATACTTACATATAATAAAATTGTAATAAACCAAATCTGTACATTAAATATTTTTTGGAAAATCTTATTGAAATAGACATTACTTATTATAAATACGGAGGTTGAATCTATAGATTTTAGAATTTTATTCTGTCTGTTACCGCATCACTGAAAAACCACTGGAGGGATTTTGATGAAATTTGGAATTATGATAGCTGGTTATCTGGGTCAACATATAGGATAGTTTTTACCGCAGGAAAATATCTAATCTCTGAGAAATCGATACTATATGTTAAAACTAAAGTAGGGACGAACACGAGTGAAGCGAGGGTGAGTTGCTAGTTATATATAAATTAACTATAAGTCATATTTGTTTAATGTACCTGTTTTGTGATTAAATTATATGCACATTAAATTATATATATTAATGTTGTGTTAAAAATATACTATGACACTATAACATGTCGATCCCTACTAATTGTGGCTGCTCATTGATAGCTTTTTTAACTCCAGTTTAGTTGAACTTAATGACATTAGGCACCAAAGTGCACATTTTCTGGAGATAGACTCCTTTATTTCTTAATAAAGGACAGTACAATGTCTCATTGAGTAGTAATTAAATATTTTTTATTGTGGAAGCTATTTTACTTAGTTCTGGTTAAAATTTAATATCTATTGCAAAACACTATGCACAGTTATTATAATAGGTTAGATTCTCAAGGGTTCTATATAAGTTTTAAAAACCGTCACTTCACCACTGTGCGTGGAATAATTAGTTAGGTGCTTTTGAAGTGTGCATACTGTTGTACATTGGCTAAAAAGTATTATTTTTATTAATTTAATTCATTCAGATTCGCGAGTTTTCCTAGTATTATGTCACATGTTTAAATAAATAGTTTCTTGGCTATAGTATTGATCAGGAGCTATGCGAAGGGAAGAAAGCTGCAGTACCGCCGGTTACGTTCGATGACTTTCACCCGCTCCTGACAACTTTCGCCGATCGCTCGCGTTCGACGGAAACGAATCCACTCTATCACATATGAATAAATAATATTGATTTGTAATTAAATAATATACTTTAATTTATTTTTACATATTACATATTATATTAGAGTACCTAAGTGACCGTATACTATACGTATACCGATTAAAATTGTGTTTGTCCAGATGTAAAAATATAGATAAATTTAAAAAGCTAAACCTTTTGCTTCTTTAGGTAGTAGCATGACGATTTATGGCCTTTAATTAGCCATCTTGAATAAACGGGCTATCTAATCTAAAAACAGTTTTTTTCAAATTGGATTAGTAATTCAGATTCCGATAGAGATTAGCGCGTTTAAACAAACAACCTGTGATTCTTTATAATATTAGTATAGATATGTATATACAAGAATTGCTCATTTAATATTATAACATATATTAGATACAATATACATATCTACAAACTAGAAATAATCAGTGCAATAGCCATATTCGCACTGACCGCAGACAGGTCGTTAATAACAAAACATTGCGTAAATTATTCTCAGCCGTTGACCGATACAATACGATATAAATAGATTTTAACCTAAATAGCTTTAACATTTAATTTTCCTTTAAATTACTTACATATTCATTATTAAAAAATATTGTTATAGGTTTTATAAATTTATAATACTTACTAATATTATAAATGTGAAAGTGTGTTTGATTGTTTGTTTTTCCTTCTTTCACGTTGAAACGAAGTGACGGATTGGCGTGATTTTTTGTGTGGAGATAGTTGGAGGGCTGAAGAGTGACATAGGCTACTTTTTACCGCGGGAGATTATCTAATTCCCACGGGATAACACGTTATAATACAATCCAACAAAATATTTATAATCAGAATGACTTAAAACTTGGTATGAATGCTCTTCAATAAAATTAAATAAATACGTGTTTTAGCATTTTTCGAAATTCATCCTATAAGTGGGTAAAATAGGGGA